GTGCTGATAGATAGATGGATAGACAGACAGACAGACAGACAGACAGATAAAACCAGGATGGGGGGTGAGAAGATAAGTCCGGGGTGAGAAATTCTGTGTGGAGCTCTGGTTCGACTGTGACATTAACTTGCTGTAACTCCTGATTTTTGAACTAAAAAAAAAAAAAAAGATCATAAATAAGGAAACTCCTCTTCCCCGCGGGGCGGAGGCGGCAGGCTGGGTGTAAAGGAGGATTCCCCGGAGGAGCGCGATTTTGCGGAGGGGTGGGGGGATTTGGGGTGTCATCGCTTCCAGGCTTTGGGGGACGTATGGATTTGAACGCTGACAAACACGGATTTGTTAGGGGGTCGTCCCTAAATCCGCCCCCCCGGCCGCCCGCGCCCCCGCGCTGACGGCGGCTCCTTTTCCTCGTCAGGGCTGAGCACCGAGGGCATTTATCGCGTGAGCGGAAACAAGTCGGAGATGGAGAGCCTGCAGCGGCAGTTCGACCAGGGTAACCTCTGCTGCCGAAATTCCTCCTTTCCCACCCCAAAAATCCGAGGGGACCCCCGCGCCCCCCCTGTGCCCGCGTCCCTCTGCCAAAGCGTTTTTAGGACAAAAACGCGTTTTTGCGGCGCTTAACCGCTGTTGGTTCGGGGACCCGGCGCGGGCTGCGTGCCCACCGCGGCCGCGCTGCCCCGGGCTGTCCCCCTGCGCGACGCCGGGGCTCCGGTCCCCCCATTTTTTAGGGTGCTTTGTCCATTTTTACGCCCCTCCTTCGCCCCCTCGGGGATCAGCTTTGCTGTGAAACGGAGACTCGGGGCCCCGAGCGGAGACGCTCCGGGGTGAAACCACGAGCCCGGGGTTGTAACCCCGGGACTCCCCCCTTGCAGATCACGGGCTGGACCTGGCCGAGAAGGATTTCACCGTCAACACCGTGGCCGGTGCCATGAAGAGTTTCTTCTCGGAGCTGCCGGAGCCCCTGGTCCCCTACACCATGCAGGTTGAGCTGGTGGAAGCCCACAGTGAGTACGCCCAGACCCTCCCCTCATTAATTAGTCCCGTGGCAGCTCGTTTGCAGGCACCTCTCGTTAACTGACACCATATAAAGCCATTTGTAGGCACGCCTCTCGATTCATTCCCACCCTCCCAGCGTGTTTCTGGCCGGAGATGCCGGCGCCCGCCAGCAAGGCGGGGGTTTTGGCCTGATTTATTTTGGGGAAAACCAACAAGCCGCTCGAACCTGAAAGTCCTGCCCCCCACAACCGGCCGGGACGCCCGGCGAGCGTTTCTGCGCCGCGGCAGCCCCCCGACTCGGCTCCCCCTCTTGGTAGAAATCAACGACCGGGAGCAGAAGCTCCACGCGCTGAGGGAAGTGCTGAGGAAATTCCCCAAGGAGAACTACGAGGTCTTCAAATACGTCATCGGGCACTTGAACAAGTACGTATCGGGGTTGCGGCGCTGGGATTGGGGGTCGCCTCTGCTGAGGTGAGGGGGAGGGTCTGTGCTGGCACCTCGCTGGCATTGCCTGCTCGCGCCGTAGGGTCAGCCACAACCACCGGGTCAACCTGATGACCAGCGAGAACCTCTCCATCTGCTTCTGGCCCACCCTGATGAGACCCGACTTCAGCACGATGGACGCCCTGACGGCCACCCGCACCTACCAGACAATCATCGAACTCTTCATCCAGCAGTGCCCCTTCTTTTTCTACAACCGGCCCATCCTCGAGCCCCCCAGCGCCGCGCCCGGCTCGCCCTCCGCCGCCCCCCCCGGTGCCCCCTTCCTCCCCGCCACGCCGGGCACGGCGCAGCCCTCGCCGCCCCGGACCCCGCCGCCGTCGCCGCAGTCGCCCGTCCAGCCGCTCGTCCCGGCTCAGCTCCACGCGGAGCAGCACACGCTGTGAGCTGGCGGCCGGGGAGGGGGGGGAAGAGAGAAAAAAAACAAAAAAAAAACAAACCGACAACAAAACAGCAAAGACCGACCGGAAAAACAACGCTAACAGCAAACCACCACCAGAATCTTGGCCTGGTCTGGGGTGCCCGGCGGGGACGGGGAAGCGAGCGCCGGGCTTGGGCTCGCCCTCTCCCACCCCGGCACGGATTTGGCACGGCGGGGGCGCGCCGGGGCGGCCGGACTGGGGGTCCTAGGAGGATTTTTTTTTTTTTTTTTTTTGTTCTTTTTTTTGGTAATCCCACCCTTCGGCTGGGGCCAGGGGGTTGAGGAGCAGATCGGGCGCCGGCAGGACGGTGGGGGCTGAGCCGGCGGACCCGCGGGCCGGGGCGCTGGGCCGATGGGACGCTTCACCGGCCGCCCCTGGGCTTTTCGGCTCGGCCCCGGCGCCGCCAAAACCCCCCTCGCAGCCCACGGGACGCAGCCGGCGGCTCGCCCGGCGCTGGCTGAAGCTCGTCCTACGTGGCCCGGGGCTCATCCGGCACGGCTCCAGCGTGGCCCGGGGCTCATCCGGCACGGCTCCAGCTTGCCCAGCGTGGCCCGGGGCTCATCCAACATGGTCGGGTGTAGCCTGAAGTTGATCCAACATGCTCCATCTCAGCCCGAGGCGCATCCAGTGTGGTCCAGCTCATCCAGCGTGACCCCGCGTAGCCCGGGGCTCATCCAGCGTAGCCGGGGGCTCACCCGCACCCCACGGGGTCCAGTTTAGCCCGGGGCTCATCCAACAGGATCCACCTCAGCCCGGGGCCTCGCCCGCCGCGGCCCCCGGGCTCACCCAGAGCCCCCCGGGAATCCCGGGCCCTCCCTGGGGTCCCCCCAAACCCCCCCAACCGCCTCCGTGGGGACCCGGCAGCGCCTTTGGGCCGGGACACCCCCCCCCCCCCGTCCCGTTTCTGCCCCTTTCCCGGGATTTTTGGCATTAAGCACTTACCGGAGGGGAGGGGGGTGGGCCTGCTGCCCCCCCACCCCATTTTTGGCCAGATTTGGGGTTTTTTTCTCCAGAAAAACCGATGCTGATTTGGGGGGGTTGGGTCAACAGGTTTCAGTTTTGGGGAAAAAAAAAAAGCCGGAATTTGGCTGCGGTGAGGACACCTGGGGATGGGGGGGGGATGTTGGGTGCCCTGGGGGGGTGCCCAGACACCTGGGTGTGTCCCCCCCGGGATGGGGAGGGGGCTCAGACCCCGGGGGGGTGGGGATACCCGGGGCCTTCCCCCCCCCCCCGTACCGGGGTGGTTTCAAACTGGATTTTCATGGTACAGCTGGGAGCGCACGGGGAAGGCTCCCGCCGCCCCTCCTGGGTCTCTTCGCACTTTAAGACGCCCCAACCCCCCCCCAACGGTGACAAAAACAGCCCAAACCCCCCCAAAAACATCTCTGTGTGTGTCCCCCCCCCGGGGGGGCTCCTCTGGCCCACAGAAACCCTCAAAAAGGGCTTTTTTCCCCCCCAGTTTCTCCAGTCTCTTGCTTTAAAACAAAAGTGTTGGTGTAAATAGTGGCCACCGGCTTTGGGTTTTTTATTTTTTTTAATTAAAACTGGCCAAAAAACCCCAAAAAGAAGAAAAAAAAACCAGAAAAGTAGAAAAAAAGAGAAACAACCCCAATTCTCACCCGGGGAGGGTTTTTTTTGCCATTAAAAATGGGGTTTTGGTGCCTTTTGGCGTGGCCGGAGAGGCCTTTTCTGGGTTTTTTTTGGTGCTGGCAAAGGGCTGGGGGAAAACCAGGCAAAATCGGGCAAAACTCGCACCGGATACAGCCACATCGCTGCTTCTCCCCCCTCAAAAATGGGGCAAAACACTACATTTTAACCATTTTCCCCCTTCCCCGCTGCTGCATCTGCATCCTCCTCTGCCTCCTTGCCCGGCGCAGTTTTGGGACAGAACTCCCAATTTTGGGGATTTTTTTTCACACCCCCCCCCATGTATTTAGGTTTTCCCGTTAGGTTGAACCCCCTTTTTTTTTTTTGGGTAACCCCGTGACACAATAGGAACGTCGTATCGGAAAATTGTAGTTTTTAAAGCAGGACGTAAGTTATTGTTTAAATAATAAATGTGATTTCCCTCCCCCCCCTCCGCTGTACATTAAAAAAAAACAAAAACCACCCAACCGCCAAAACCAAAATCCATCTTTAATCAAGTCCTCCACAAAAAAAAAAAAAAAAAATGGAATTTTTGGGGGTTTTCTGCTGGCAAAGGGGTCGGCCAGCGCTAACGGTTTTCTTTGTATTTTTAGGGCCTAACAAACCTCCGCCCCGTAGTTCTTGGTGATAGACATTGCCTTTTTCTGCTTCTTTTAAGGACGTTTTTAACAATTTGTGGTATTTTCCAGGGCCGATGCGATTAGTGCATGAAAAAAAAAAAAAAACGAAGGAAAAAAAAAAAAAAAATGTTTAACGCTCCGGGGGTCCAGATGGGCCCTTTTACTGCTGAATTTAAAGAGAAAAAAAAAAAAAACAAAACCACAAAAAAAAAAAAAACAAAAAAAAAAAAAAAAAAAAAAAAGGAAGACAAGAAAAAAATAATAATAATTCTGGAGTTGCTGCGGAGTTTTTGGGGGGAATCCCGGGGTCCCCTGGGACGGGGGCGCGAGCTGGAAGCCAGTGGGAAACTGGGGTGCACAGAGTGGGAGGGCGACACGAGGCTGTAACGGCGCTGGGGACCCACTGCGCGGCGGGGGGGACGGACGGCAGAGTGGGCACCCGTCACAGAGTGAGTGGGCACCCGTCACAGACAGAGTGGGCACCGCAGAGTGGGCAGCAGTCACAGAGTGGGCACCGCAGAGTGGGCACCGTGGGCACCACAGAGTGGGCACCCGTCACCAAGTGGGCACTGCAGAGTGGGCACCCGTCACAGACAGAGTGGGCACCGCGTGGGCACCGTGATGCAGGACTGGGCACGGGGCTTTGCACACTCGCAGCCCGGGGAGACCCTGCAAACTGGGAAACGGTGGCAAACCAGCCACTGCGAACTGGGCAAACCCAGTTTTGGGGTTAATCAGCAGGAATCTGGGCAACTTCGGGGGTTTTTCCCCCCTCTTTCTGAGGCCCCTGTGAATGAAGCAGGGACAAATTGGGGCTTTTTCCACCTTTTTTATTTCCCAGCCCGGCTCCTCCGCCCCGTTTCCCCGTGCTGACCAGAGGGGCTGCAAAAACGGGGCCGAAAACGCTTGTTTCTGCCACTGTGCCTGAAGAAATGCTCATTTTTTCATAAAACCCCCAGAGCGGAGCCACACGGAGGCGAGTTTTGCTCAAAACCCTTGTTTTTCACAGCAGGAATGAGGGTGCAAACAGCAGGCACAGCAAAGGCCCCGGGAGGGTGCTGATCCCCACCCCCAGGGTGAATGAATAAATACAAAGCAGCCAAAACTGGAGGGTTTTGCTGAAAAACCCCAGCATTTTGAGGGGGGGGTGTGGGGTGGGGTGTGGATTGGATTTTAATCCAACCCCCCCGGGTGTTTTTGATCCTCCCCGGGGGGGGATTGAAACCTCCTGGGGAATTTTAATTCTCTGGGGGGGGGGGGGTTTAATCATCCCAGGGCATCTTTTAATCCTCCTGGGATGGGATTTAATCCCCTGGGGGGGCAGTTTAATCCCCCCAGGGTGGTTTTAATCTTTTTAGGGTGGCTTGGTTCTCCCAAAATGGTTTTAAATCTGCTGGGAGGGGGGGATTTAATCCTCCCCAGGAGCTTTTAATCCTCGGGGGGGGGAGGATTTTTAATACTCCCAAGTAGCTTTTAATCCTCTGGGGGGGGGGTTAATCCTCCTGGGGTGGGGGGGTTAATCCTCCCAAGAAGCTTCTAATCCTCCTGGGGGGGTTTAATCCTCCCAAGGAGCTTTTAATTCTCACAGGTGGGGTGTTAATGTCGTGTTCCCCCCCCCCCCCCCGCTGTTTTTTTCCCTCCCCCAGGGCAGTTTCTCACCCCTCAGGGGTTATTTTCTCTATAAACAAGGGTGTGTCCCCCAGCCCCCCTCAGCCCCCCCCCAGCCCCCCCCCCCGTCACTTTTCGGGGGGCTCCTCGGGGACGATCTCCACCTCCAAGCGGCCAACGTAGAGGGAGAGGGCGCAGAGCCAGAGCAGGGCGAGCAGCGCGGCGGCGGCGGCGTTGGCGGCGGCCGTGGGCGCCGGCAGCATCATGGGGCGGCGCAGCAGCACCAGGTTCACCAGGTAGGAACCGGCCCCGTAGGAAACGCACAGGCCCCCCAGGATGAAAAAACCTTCAAACAAACAAAAAAATTAAAATAAGCCCCAGAACAATTCAGGTGGAATATTTGGGGGGGGGAAGAGCTCCCACAAAGCAGGGGGGTGTTGGCAAAAATAATTAGGCCAAAGGGATGGGGAACCTATAAAGGAGGAAAATGGCCCCAAAATCTGCCTGAAATGGGGGAGCAGGGGGGATGGGGGAGGGATGAGTTGGATTTAAGGGATTTTGGTTGGGTTTGGGGTGCGGGGATGGGGCTGAGGGGGTTTGGGGTGGGGATACAGGGGGGTCAGTTTGGGGAGGGGATCTGGTGGGGGTTTGGAGTGGGGGATCTGGGAGGAATTGGGGGTGGGGGATCTTGGGGGGGTTTGGAGTGGGGATCTGGGGGGGGGGGGGGGGATTTGGGGTGAAGGATCTGGGGGGCTCAGTTTGGGAGGGGGACCTGGGAGTGACAACCTGGGGGCTTTGGGGTGAGGATCTAGGAGGATTTGGGGTGGGGATCTGGGGGCTCAGTTTGGGGTGGGGATCTGGGGGAGGATTTGGGGTGGGGGATCCAGGGGGGTCGGGTTTGGGATCCGAGGGTTCAGTTTGAGGGTGCCAGCAGGGGAAATGGCCCCCAGCCCCCGTCCCCACCGTAGGCAGCGTCGCGGCCCGTGTCGCTCTGGGCGTAGGAGATGACGCCGACGCCGGTGGCCAGGAGCCCGTTACGGTACCAGGAAAGGAGACCTGACACAGCGAACAGACACAAAATGGGGGGGGGGGGACACCCACAGAATGGGGAGAGGGCTCCCCCCCTCAGACCCCGCCCCCCCCCGCCGCCGCCCCGCCCCTCACCGCCCTCCAGCGCTTTCCGCAGCAGCCAAGCGTCCGCCCGCTCCAGGTCGGAGGCGGCGGGCGGCGGCGGGGCCCGGCCCAGGCTGTACCGGGGGCCCAGGCCGTACCGGGGGCCCAGGCCGCACCGGGGGCCTCGGAGCCTCCGGAGCGCCGCCGCCGCCGCCCTCCCCGCGCCGCCCCACCAGCCCATGGCGGCCCCCGCCGCCGCCCTTCCGCTTCCTCCCGTCCTTCCCGCCAGCCCACCCCCCCCACCGCGGCGAGCGCCGGTTGGTCGCCACGGCCACCACTCACCGCCAATGCCCGCGCTGATTGGCGGATCGACGCGTCAGTCCCGCTGCGGCGCGGAAGGCGCCTTCTCATTGGCTACGCCTTTCCCCCCCACACGCAAATCCCTTCTATTCCCCCCAAAAATGGCCAAAACACCGGTTTTCTTCACCTTAAAACACCACTTTATGAGGCAGGGCCGCCCCGCCGGTGCCCCCTGGGATTGGCTGGGGGGGCGGGGGGGGGGGGCGCGGCTCCGGCGGCGGCTGGGGAAGGAAACGGCGCTTCGTTAGCGGGGGGGTCGGTACCGGATTTGGGGGCGGTGGGGTGTTTGTTATTGTAGGGTCGCCCGCAAAAGACAAGGGGGGGGGGGTGTGTGTTATTGTAGGGTCGCCCCCAGCCCCACTCACCCGCCCGGCCGCTCCTTCTGGCCCCGCCTCCTTTTCCTCACCGCGCCCGCCCATTGGCTGTAACACAGGCGCCAGGCCACGCCCCTCAAAGGTCGAGAGGGCGTGGCCAGCAGGGAGCCCCGCCCCCGCCAGCAAGCAGCACCCAGCTTTTTTTGGCGGGGGGGAAGGGGAGGGAGGGGGTGTTGGGGGGGCCCAGGGTGCGATTTTGGGGTGAAACAGCCGGGGGGGGGCACGCCAGAGGCGGGGGAGAGGGGGGGCGCCCCAAAACAAGGGAAAACGCAGCGATTTGAGGCTGTTCTCCCCCGCCCCGTGCTCTGCCCCGAACCCCCGCCCTGGTGCCGCGTTTCCCCCCTGCTGTGTCCCCCCCACCCCCACCCCGCGATGTGCACGTGTGTGTCCCACCCCACCCGTGTCCCCCCCCCCCCACCCCACCCGTGTCCCCTCACAGCTCGTCCTCAAGGCCATCGTCCTCCTCGGGGAAGTCCCCGGGGGTGACGCTCTGGGGCTTGACGAAGGCGCCGTACTTGGGCTGGCATTCGAAATAACGGCGCCCGCCCACACTTGGATGGAGGAAAAAATAATAATAATAAATAAATAAATAAATAAAAACAACCAAAAAAAATTAAAATAAAAACCGCCACGATCTGGGGGTGGCCCAAAGACACCCCCACACCAAGAGGGGACACTACCTGCCGTCGTGCTTGCCCAGCGGCTCGTCGTAGCGGACGCCCACCCAGTATCCCGGCTTGAAATCGGTTTGGCCTGCGGGGAAAAGGGGGGGCGGGGGCGGGCGGTGAAGGGGGGAGGGGTTTTGGGGACAAATCCCGGGGGTTTGGGGCCATCTGGGGGGGGCCACTTACCGACGTACATGACGGTGGCCCGTTTGCAGGGCTGGCCGGGGACGCGGACCTGGCAGCGGGCGCCCAGGGGGAGGGCGGCCGCCAGCGCTGCCTCCTGCGCCCGGCGCTGCTGCTCCTCGGCCGCCCGGCGCCGCGTCCCCTCGGCGTCGTAACGTCCCCACCGGCGCTGGCGGAGGAAGGAGCGCAGGGACTCTGTGGGGACATCGGGGGACAGGGCTGGAGGGGGGGGACCTCAGGGGGGAGAGGGAGTGGCACCGTGGGGAACAGGGGAATGTCACCTCGACTGGGGGGGACTGGGACACTGGGGGGGCAGGGAGAGTGTCACCATGGGGGACGGGGACTGTCACCTCAACTGGGGGGACTGGGAGAGTGTCACCATGGGGGACGGGGACTGTCACCTCAACTGGGGGGGCAGGGAGAGTGTCACCATGGGGGACGGGGACTGTCACCTCAACTGGGGGGACTGGGAGAGTGTCACCATGGGGGATGGGGACTGTCACCTCAACTGGGGGGCAGGGAGAGTGTCACCATGGGGGACAGGGACTGTCGCCTCAACTGGGGGGACTGGGAGAGTGTCACCTCAACCAGGGGGACAGGGGACAGTCACCTCAACTAGGGGGACAGGGAGTCACCACAGGGCACTGTCACTTCAACGGGGCCAGTCACAGAGTGGGGAGAATCACCCTGGGGGACAGGGACTGTCACCTCAACTGGGGGGACTGGGAGAGTGTCACCATGGGGGACGGGGACTGTCACCTCAACTGGGGGGACTGGGAGAGTGTCACCATGGGGGACGGGGACTGTCACCTCAACTGGGGGGACTGGGAGAGTGTCACCATGAGGGATGGGGACTGTCACCTCAACTGGGGGGACTGGGGAAGTGTCACCATGGGAGACAGCGGATGGTCCCCTCAACTAGGGGGACAGTGACAGAGTGGGGACAGGGACAGTCACCTCAACTGGGGGGACTGGGAGCGTGCCACCACGGGGGACACGGGGTGGGGACATCCCCTCAGCACCATGGAGGTGACACCGCAGGGACTGGGCACATCACGTGGGGGGTGACAGATAGACAGACAAACACAAGGGGGGACACACACACACACACACGCCCCCGGGGCCACCGGTGTCACCTGGCCGCTTCTCATAGTCGCTCTCGGCCATCTCGTACTTCTCCACCTGCGAGACGTCCTCGTACTCCCCGATACGCGCCCCGCTCCGGTCAATCACCTGCAGCCCCCCAACAACCCGCGGGGGGGGGGGCGTTACGGGGGGTCCCCCATTTTGGGGTGAGAAAGGGGGAAAACGGGTGTGCTGTGTGCTAGAGCAAGGTGGGTTCATTTGGGGTGAGCAACAGGGCACACCGCTACTGGGAGGGGGGGAAGTAGGGAATGGGGGTGCAACGAAGTGGGTGTAAGGTTTGATTTTGGGGTGAAAAGCGGGGAAAAAAGAAAAAAGGGGGAGGGGGAATGAGACCCACGTGCACGCGGCAACCATCGGCCACGGGGTAGGAGCCCAGCAGGGCCTCATCACAGTCCAGGCGGCCCAGCGGCTCCTCCTCGGCGCTGTACAGCTCCAGGTCCATGCAGGAGGCCGGGCTGCCCACCACCAGCTCCAGTTTGCACTGGGAAAGGGGGGAAACGGGGGGGGGACTGGTCAGGGGCAGGAGGTGGCCCAGCGAGCCAGCTCTAATCTAAGGGTGACGGCGGGGGGTGAAATTGGTGCTGGGGTGGTGAGGAGGAGGAGGGGGGTTCTGGGCTCCGGGGAGGAAGAGAAGAGGGTGTCCTGGGACCCAGAGAGAAGGAAGAGGAGGAGGAAGAGGAGTGAGGTGACGGGGTGCCCTGGCACCCAGAGAAGAGGAGGAGGAAGGGGAAAGGGTGTCCTGGGCCCCAGAGTGGAAGAAGAGGAGAAGGAAGAGGGAGTGGAGGGGGTGCCCCAAGCCCCAGAGAAGAGGAGGAGGACGAGGAAGAGAATGGAAGGGAGGGGGTGCCCCAAGCCCCAGGGAAGAGGAAGAGCAGGAAGAAGAGGAGGAATAAGGGGAAGGGGTGTCCCGGGCCCCAGAGAGGAGGAGGAGGAGGGAAGGCGGTCCCTGGACGGGGCTAGCCCGCCGTGAGGAGGAGGAGCCCAGAAGCGAAGAAGGAAGAGGAGGAAGGCCGCGGCTGAGGCCGGGCCCGCGAGGGGGGCGGAGGCCGCCGGCCGGTGAGGCGAGGGAGAAGGGGCCCGCTCCCGCTACCTTGAACTCGGCGATGGTGAGGCCGGTGCCATAGCGCTTGTGGGTGCGGAAGGCGTTGAGGCTGCTGGTGACGGCCAGCGCCACGGACCCGGACCCGGACCCGGCGCCGAGCAGCGGCCCCGCCGGCCCCGGCCCCGCCGCCGCCCTCATCCTGCGGCCCCGCCGCCGCCGCCGCCGCCGCTTCTGGAACCTTCGGCCCGCCCCCGCCGCCCGGCCAATCGGCGGCGCCGTGCCGCCGCGCAGCCAATAGGGAACGGGGCCGCCCGGCCCGCCCCGTCGCGGTTCGTCCAATGGAGAGGCGCGATGGAGGAAAGGGGCGGGGCGGGGGCTGAGGGGCGAGGAGGCTGTCAGCGCGGGGGGTGTGCGTGCAAGGGAGCGAGGCGCGGGGGGGGCAATGCACGGGGGTACAGGTGTGCAATGCACGGGGGTGCAGGTGTGCAACGTACGGGGGTACAGGTGTGCAATGCACGGGGGGTGCAGGTGTGCAATGCACGGGGGTACAGGTGTGCAACGCACGGGGGGTGCAGGTGTGCAATGCACGGGGGTACAGGTGTGCAACGCACGGGGGGTGCAGGTGTGCAACGCACGGGGGGTGCAGGTGTGCAATGCACGGGGGTACAGGTGTGCAACGCACGGGGGGTGCAGGTGTGCAATGCACGGGGGTACAGGTGTGCAATGCACGGGGGGTGCAGGTGTGCAATGTACGGGGGGTGCAATAGAGCAATGCACGGGGGTACAGGTGTGCAACGCACGGGGGGTGCAGGTGTGCAATGCACGGGGGTGCCGGGGTGCAATGCACGGGGGTCCAGGTGTGCAACGTACGGGGGGTGCAATAGAGCAATGCACGGGGGGTGTAGGTGTGCAACGCACGGGGGTACAGGTGTGCAATGCACGGGGGGTGCAATAGAGCAATGCACGGGGGTACAGGTGTGCAATGCACGGGGGGTGCAATAGAGCAATGCACGAGGGTGCAGGTGTGCAAGGCATGGGGCGTGCAGTGGAGCAATGAACGTGGGGGCAATGCACAGAGTCTAGGCTTGCAACGTGCAGGTGTGCAGTGCACGGGTGTGTAGGTGTGCAATGCACGGGGGTGCCGGGGTGCAATGCACGGGGGTGCTGGGGTGCAATGCACCGGGGTGCTGGGGTGCAATGCACCGGGGTGCCGGGGTGCAATGCACGGGTGTGTAGGTGTGCAATGCACGGGGGTGCCGGGGTGCAATGCACGGGGGTGCAGGTGTGCAATGCACGGGGGTGCCGGGGTGCAATGCACCGGGGTGCTGGGATGCAATGCACGGGGGTGCCGGGGTGCAATGCCCGGGGGTGCCGGGGTGCAATGCCCGGGGGTGCAGGTGTGCAATGCACGGGGGGTGCCGGGGTGCAATGCACGGGGGTGCAGGTGTGCAATGCACGGGGGTGCCGGGGTGCAATGCCCGGGGGTGCCGGGGTGCAATGCACGGGGGTGCAGGTGTGCAATGCACGGGGGTGCCGGGGTGCAATGCACGGGGGTGCCGGGATGCAATGCACGGGGGTGCCGGGGTGCAATGCCCGGGGGTGCCGGGGTGCAATGCACGGGGGTGCAGGTGTGCAATGCACGGGGGTGCCGGGGTGCAATGCACGGGGGTGCCGGGATGCAATGCACGGGGGTGCCGGGGTGCAATGCCCGGGGGTGCAGGTGTGCAATGCACGGGGGTGCCGGGGTGCAATGCACGGGGGTGCCGGGGTGCAATGCACGGGGGTGCAGGTGTGCAATGCACGGGGGTGCCGGGGTGCAATGCACCGGGGTGCTGGGATGCAATGCACGGGGGTGCCGGGGTGCAATGCCCGGGGGTGCTGGGGTGCAATGCACCGGGGTGCTGGGGTGCAATGCACCGGGGTGCCGGGGTGCAATGCACGGGTGTGTAGGTGTGCAATGCACGGGGGTGCCGGGGTGCAATGCACGGGGGTGCAGGTGTGCAATGCACGGGGGTGCCGGGGTGCAATGCACCGGGGTGCTGGGATGCAATGCACGGGGGTGCCGGGGTGCAATGCCCGGGGGTGCCGGGGTGCAATGCCCGGGGGTGCAGGTGTGCAATGCACGGGGGTGCCGGGGTGCAATGCACGGGGGTGCAGGTGTGCAATGCACGGGGGTGCCGGGGTGCAATGCACGGGGGTGCCGGGGTGCAATGCACGGGGGTGCCGGGGTGCAATGCCCGGGGGTGCCGGGGTGCAATGCACGGGGGTGCAGGTGTGCAATGCACGGGGGTGCCGGGGTGCAATGCACGGGGGTGCCGGGATGCAATGCCCGGGGGTGCAGGTGTGCAATGCACGGGGGTGCCGGGGTGCAATGCACGGGGGTGCAGGTGTGCAATGCACGGGGGTGCCGGGGTGCAATGCACGGGGGTGCCGGGGTGCAATGCACGGGGGTGCAGGTGTGCAATGCCCGGGGGTGCCGGGGTGCAATGCACGGGGGTGCAGGTGTGCAATGCACGGGGGTGCCGGGGTGCAATGCACGGGGAGTGCAGTGCCCGGGGTGCCGGTTGCAATCCCGGGGGGGGCCGGGCCGGTTCCGCCGTTTCCCGCCGCCCTTTGTCCCCCCGCGGCCGCCGTCGGGCCCCGCGCACGCGCACGGCGGAGCCGCCATGGAGGCGGACGGCGCCTACGAGCCGGGCTTCGTGGGGATCCGCTTCTGCCAGGAGTGGTGAGGGGACCCCCACATCCCCCCCGGCACCCCCACATCCCCCCCGGGACCCCCCAGGTTGTGTCCCCCCCCCTCAGACCCCCGACTCCCCCGACATTCCCCTCAGGACGCCCTAATGCCTCCCCCCCCCCCCCCCAAGGGATGTGACCCCAGGACCAGGCTGAGCCCCCCCCCCCCCCCCGAGACCCCATAATAACCCCCCCCCATTTCCCCCCCCCAGCAACAACATGCTGTACCCCAAAGAGGACAAGGAGAACCGGATTCTGCTCTACGCCGTGAGTTGTTCCCCCCGGCACCCAGCTGGGACCAGGCCCAGGGTCCCGGCTGTGCGCCGCCCCCAGGGAGCACGGGGGGTGCGCTGGGGGCACGGGGGGGCCGGGCCCGGTGCCGCGGGGGGCCGTGCCCGGCTCCTCCCGGGTCGGTACCGGGGCCGGTCCCGGTGCCCCGCCCCTCCCGGGTCGGTACCGGGGCCGGCCCGTAAGCCTTGCTCTTCCCCCAGTGCCGTAACTGCGACTACCAGCAAGAGGCCGACAACAGCTGCATCTACGTCAATAAAATCACCCATGAAGTGGAGTAAGTTCGTTAGCGGAACGAGCTCATTAGCGGGGATGCCTGGGTACTGGTCCCAGTATTCCCCACCCCAGGGACGGGGTGTTAGTAGAGAGTAATTAATAAGGAAAAGGTAATTGAAAAGAATGGTGGGGTAATTAATAGGATGGTAGTTAGCAAGGTAAGAATTAGGGTAGTTAATAAGAGAATAATTAGGGTGAGCGGTTAATATGGGGAGGCAATAAGGGAAGATGAGCAGGGGGCAATTAATAAGGGAGAAAAAATTTATAGGTAATTAATAAATAAAGGGATAATTGGGGTGGTTAGTAGGAGTGATTCAAGGGTAATTGGAGAGTAATAAGGGGGAAAAAAGAGCGAATAATGAGGGATTATTAATAAGGATAATAACTAGGGGTAATTAATGAGGGGGATAGCTGGGTTATTAATAGCCTGGGGTAATTAAGGGGGTTAATTAACACCCCGGGGTGTCTCCTCGCAGCGAGCTCACGCAGATCATCGCTGACGTCTCGCAGGACCCCACGCTGCCCCGCACTGAGGACCACCCCTGCCAGAAGTGAGTGGGGACATGGGGACACACACACACACCCCCCCCTTGGCTCTAGTGTCCCCACGGGACCCCAATGTCCCATGTCTGTCCCCCCCCCCCCTCTAATATCTCTGATGTCCCCACAAGATTTTTATGTCCCCCTCTCCCCCAGGTGTGGGCACAAGGAAGCTGTTTTCTTCCAGTCGCACAGCGCCAGAGCTGAGGTGAGGTGACACCCCCCCCCCCCCAAAAGCCTTGTGCCCCCCCAAAATGTCACTGTCCCCCCCACAACACGCCCTGACTGCCCCCTCCTCCCACCCCCCAGGACGCCATGAGGCTTTACTACGTCTGCACCGCCCCGCACTGCGGCCACCGCTGGACCGAGTGACGGCGCCCAGAGACCCCCACAAACCCCCCAAATCACCCCAGATTGCAGCCGTCACCCCAAAATGTCCCCTCCCGGCAGCTCCTGTGCCCCCCAACCCCGGGTCTGTGTGTTGTTTCCCCCCTCCCCGTACCCTCCAGTGTGGCATTTTGGTGGTAATAATGGTTATTTTTGGCAGTGGGATGTGTCGGTGGCTCTGTGGGGTGAAGGGGAGCAGTTCCGTGGGGTCTGGGAGGGTTTTGGGGTGCACATAGCTGCAGGGGGGGGGGTGGTGGTGTCTCTCTGTGTGTACGTCACAGCTGCAGGGACCAAATCATCCATAGTGGCCCCAAATTGCATCCCTGGTGCCCCAAAATGCTTCTTTAGGTCCCAGTTTTTCCACGTTGGGTTCTAAATTGCATCCCCGGTACCCCAAAATGTCTCTATGGGCCTCAAATTACAGCTATGGAGCCCCAAATTTTCCACAGTGGGCCCCAAAATGTTCCCTTGGGCCCCAAATTGCAGCCACAGGGTCCCAGATTTTCCACAGTGGGCCCCAAATTGCATCCCTGGTGCCCCAAAATGTCCCCATGGGCTTCAAATTACAGCTATAGAACCCCAAATTTTCCACGGTGGGCCCTGAATTACATCCATGGAACCCCAAGAATGCTCCCTTGGGCCGCAGATTTCCCACAATGAGCCCTGAATTGCAGCTGTGGAGCCCCAAATTGTCCCCAGTGGGCCCCAAGTCCTAACTCTGGTGGCCCAGGTTGCCCCCCCCAGTGCCCCACATCACCCCATACCAGTCCCAGATGACCCCACCAGGCTCTAATTCACCCCAGTTTGCATCCCCAGTGCCCCCAGTTACCCATGACAGGCCCCATATTGTAGTCCTGGTGGACAAGTTGCCCTCGGGGTACCCCAGATCACCCCCCCGTCCCCCCCAAATCGCCCCCCGCCACGTCTCAAATCTCTCCATCAAGCCTCAACTTACCCAAAATCTCTTTCCCCCGTACCCTAAACTGTCGAGTTGCACCCCAAATCACCCCTCTGGGTACCCTGAACTACCCTCCAGCCACCCCCCAGCTCCTCACCGAGCCCCCAAATCGCCGCCTGGTGCAACGGGGGCGGACGGGGTCTTGAGGGGGCTGAATCCACCGACTGCAAACCCCCTGAATTTGGTTTAAAGACATTTATTATTTTAACAACCTTTTAAATGGGCAGCGACAGCTGCTTCTGCCCCACTGCCGGGTGTTCGGGGGGCTTGGAGGGGGATGAGATGAAAACTGGAGAAAAATATACATCCGAAAGGCTCAAAAACGGGTTTAAAAAACACAGAAATGAGCTGGGGGAGAGGGGTCGGCGCCCCGATACCTCGATTTCAAGCGTTTCAGGGCTGCTGCCCCCCCAGCCTCCCCCGAACCATTTCCAGGAGGGAGTCGGAGTAGGCGCGGAGCAGCTCCAGGGTTTCGGGGGGCAGTGGCAGCGGCGCCGGGGGGTCGGTGCCGGCGTCGGCCCCGCAGGCGACGCCGCGGGAGCGCAGCTCGGCTTTCATCCAGCCAAAAGCTCCGGCCAGCGCTGTCCTCGCCTGGAGGACATCCGCCTCCGCGCAGAGGGTCACCTGCCAGAAGGTGGGACACACACCCCCCCCGCTTTGTCACCCCATTTTTAAATTATTTTATTTTTACCACATGGTTAAAACACACCCCCGGCGCCTCGGCTCCGAAACGAGCCACCACCGGTGGGTTTGTTTGAAGGGGTTGACCCCACGGGTGTGGTTAAAATACACCAGCGGCTCGCCGTCCCCCCCCCCCCCAAAAAATATTGTGAATTGAGGAGTGTGTATCCCCCCCAAAATTGGCACCGACCTGGTCGTAGAGCTCCAGTGTCTCCTGGAAGTGGGTGCGGAGCAGCCGCAGGGCCGCGGTGAAGGTCTCGAGGCGGCGGTGGGATCCTGCGGGCGTCCTGCTGCTGTCACCCGTGTCCCCCACTCCGGGAGGGGACAAAAAAAACCCCCTTGTCCCCATCCGGGAGGGGCGTTTGGGGTGAAGGAAGCCCCTCTTCGTCCTCAACCACTCACCTGTAGATTTGCAGGTGTCGGAGCTTGTTTCCTCTCCCGTTTCCCGAGGTTTTTCACCCAGCGGTTTCTAAAAAGTTGGAAGCGCCGCTAAGCCTGGCCCGCGGAGCGAAAATACCTTTTTTTGGGTCTCTTCCCCTCAAAATTTCCCTTTCCCTCGGGCAGAAAACCCACTCGCCTCTGCCTGTCGCAGCGCCTCGGATGTTTTTGGCTGGTCCCCGAGCGGCTCCTGGGCACGGACAGGGCTCTGGGGCCGGGGCCGTGCCCACAGGGGGAAGGTGGCCGCCAGCCTGTGGGACGAAGAAGGGGTCGGGAGCGGGAAAACCCCGCCGGCCGGACAGACAGACGGGCACGGCGCCTGATTCTTACCTGCTCTTCTGGCAGCGTGAGAGGAACCGGGCTGAAATGCTCAGGCGTGGGTTCAAGAACAAGTCTTTTCCCTCATCTCCAGGTTCAGGCGGTTTTAAGTCCTTTAAGGAGCCGTCGAATTTCTCTGCGGCCGCGGGGCGGGAAGCGTCAGCTCCGGCCGCCGCCGGGATCGCCCGCGCCGGCACCGGCCGCCCGCGCCGTTTGTCCCGTTACCTTCGGTGTCCGCCAGCGTCTCAAAGTGCTGCTTGAGGTACTTCTCCTGCTCGGGGGTCTGGGGCTGGGAGCTGCTCAGCACCGGGTTCTCCGCCTCCTCCGCCTCCCCAGCAGAGCCCGCCGAGTCCTCGTCTGCTGGGACAGAGCCGGAAAGGAAATTCCCCCCCCCCCCAAAACGGATGTTGGAACCGAGCGGTTTTCATTCGGAGCCCCCTCGAAGAGCTAAAGCCGCCCCTCAGCTTTTTGTTTGGGCGCGTTTGGCGCTGGCGAAGCCGGCGTTACCTTCGGGCTGGAAACGCGGCGCCGGCATCGGGAGGCAGAGCGAGACGCGGGGCGAGGCGCCCTCCCGGCCGTGCCCGAGCTCCTCCGGGGACGCGGGGCGCGGCGGCGGCTCGGTCGCGTGTCGCCTTGAGGGGGAAGGAGCAGCCCGGTGAGGGCCGAGCAGCGGGGCCTGCGCTCGCCAGCGCTCCAAGCTGAGACGCGCGCGTCCGGGTGTTGGGCTGGGACGAGGTTAAGCCGCTCCCCAAAAGGTTCCCTCCCCCCTGCCCCGAGCCGGCGCCTGCCGGCACTGCCAAAAAGCTCTGAAATTCGGCTCGAAGGGAAACCCCGCGGCGGGGATGGGGGCGCGACCAGAGCTCGGCGCGGTGCCGTTCAGCGAAGCCCAGACGAGCGGGGAGAGGTTGGCTTAACGCCGGTAGCAAAACGCGGCGTTTGGTGCCCCGCCCGGGCGGCACCGACCTGCTCACCGCCGGCACGCGCAGCTCCTCCGGGCTGGTCCTGGTCATACCCAGCAATTCCAGTCCCCCGTTGATTTCCTCATCCAGGAGGAGCTCGGAGAGCTGGAAGTCCTCGGTGAGATCGCTGGGAGAGCTCTCTGCCTGCCGGAGACGGGGAGCCAATGTCCGTAGCCGGATTTTTGCCAGAAGGGTGGGCGCTGGCGGGCAAAGGGGCTCCAGGGGTGGTTAAAACCGGAGTCCGGCGCTGGCTCCGGCCCCGCGACTGACCTCTGAAAGTAGCTGCTCCAGGCTGCTGGGGTCCAGCTCCGCGTCGCCCTCGAGGCGAGGGGGTTTGAGGGGGGTGAAATAGGCGGGATCCGCCGCCGGCAAAGTCTTGATGGGGCCCCTCTCGGCGCGTTCTGCCCATCGCCCCCGCGGCCGGTAGCTCCAGGGGGGGATGGCAGCCGCCCTGTCGCCCTCCTCTACCTCTCCCAGCTGGAAAGTTTGAGGAGATCCAGTGGAGATGAGGTAAAGAGACCTTCGTGCGGCCCCGTTACATTAAATTAAATTAAATTACATCTCTAAGTGCATCCGTGGGACTTACCAGCCTCTTGGCCCACATGGGCAGCCTGCCGTTGGTTAGGACGCACGCCGGAGCTGGAGGGGGAGAGCGGGGTTAGGAACGGCGCCGTGCGCCGCAGCCCTGGGAGGAAAAACAGGCAGAAAAGGGGGTGCAGGTGCCAAGGGACCCCGGTGCGCCACGCACGCGGCTCCAAATCCTCCTTGCAGGGGGTCTGCAGGGTCGAGGCGGCGTCCCGCTCCTCCTCGGGCTCCTCGTCGGAAGGTCCGGGGGCTGCCGTCCCGCCGGGGATCGTGGCGTAGCTCTCCGGTCTGGAGGAGGGGAGAATGGTGGGGTTGCTCCTCCCGCCCCAAAAAGCAAAACTGTGGGGTGATGTGGGGGGCGAGGGGCTTTTCCCCGCTAACCCGAGCTGCTCCGTGGAACCGGGTTCCTTCTCCCGCTTTGGCTGCAGCAGGTCGAGCTCCAGCAAGTGTTGCTTCATGCTGCTGGTGATTTCAAGGCCCAGGCGCCAAATAAAGATGCAGCTGGGGGGGTAGAAAGACAGGTGGGGGGTGGGGTCAGCTCACCCCCAGATTTTGGATACGGGGGGGGGGCTTTACGTGAAGTCAATTAATTTAATCCACTCGAGCCCTCCAGCACTGCCTCCACTTGGGTGGACATCCCACCCAGCGTTCTCAAAAGCCAATTTTTCTCCCGTCGCGTCTTGCGCGGCGCACAGGGCGAGGTGTATAGGGGGAGGCATGTGTGGGGGGAGGCATAAATCTGACAATTTTAGGCCTGCTGACCCATACCTGTCTCCCGAGACGGTGATGAGGTGCTTGCAGTCGTAGGTGAACCGCATCCCCGTGACTATTTCTGTGCCAACAGAAGGAAACGCCGGGGTGCTGTTTGCCAGGGCCGCCGTCCCCCGCGCTCGTTTTGGAGATGTGACGTAGCGGGTGCGTGGAGGCCAGAGGGGGGGACAGGCCCAGCCCTGGGGTGCTCTCCCTTTTCCCGCGGGCACCTCCCGGGTTTCCCTCCCGCACCTGAATGGCCGAACACGGTGGCCACGCTCTCGCCGGAGCGGAAGTCGATGAGGGCGATGCTTTTGTCAGAGCAGCTCGTCGCCAGGAAGGTGCCCGAGGGATCCAACTGCACCTGGGGGGAGAGGGGCGGTGGGGCCGGGCAGCCCAGCAGCTTCGGGGGAGCACGGGAAGGTTCGGGTGGGCTGAAGGGACCTTCGAAGGCCACCCAGTCCAAGCCCCCCGCCGCGGGCGGGGACATTTCCCGCTAGACCAGGCTGCTCCAACCAACCTGGCCTGGAACGCTTCCCGCCACGGGGCAGCCGCAGCTCCTCTGGGCGACCTCCTCCAGTGTCTCACCACCCTCACGGCAAAGTTCTCCTCCGTGTCCACCCCAACCCCCCCCTCGGGCCGCGTAAAGCCGGTGCCCCTTGTCCTGCCGCTCCAGAACTCTCCCTCCGTCTCGCTTACGAGCCCCTTGAAGCACCGAACGGCCGCAAGAAGGTCTCCTCCTCTTCTCCAGCCTCACCAGCCCCAACTCCCCCGGCCTTCCTCCGCAGATGGCCCCCGGGCCATCGCCGTGGCCTCCTCTGGACCCGCTCGAGCAGACCCGTGTCTGTCCTGTGCTGGGGACCCCCCGCGCTGGAGGCAGGGGGGGACGACCCCCCCCCTCGCCCCGCAGCCCAGGAGACGCTCAGCCTTCTGGGCTGCGAGCGCACGTTGCTGGCTCGCGTCCCATGTGCCACCCACCGGCGTCCCCAGGACCTGCCCCACGGGGCTGTTCTCCGTCCGTCCGTCCGTCCGCCCGCCCCCCAGCCTGCCCCGGGACAGGGGATGGCCCCCACCCGACCGCAGAGCCTCGCCCTTGGCCTTGCTGACCCTCAGGAGGTTCCTGTTGGCCAACGTCTCCAGCTCCCTCTGCACGGCACCTCTCCCCTCGAGGGCACCAACGGCTCAGCCCCACGCCCTTCAGCCCCGCCGACAATCCTGCCCCCCCGCAGCCCCCCCCGGCCCAGGGAGCTCCTGCGGGCGCCGCGATGGCTGACAGACGGTGGAAATCACCTTCTTACCTTCAGCAAGGAGCCGTCGTCGCCTTGCGAGCCCTTGTAGCAGCACTTTTGCTTCCCGTTGGCCGTGTTGTACACCCTGCAAGAGGAGCGGGAGTTGGGGACACGGGAGCCGGGAGACAGCTGACCCCGAGGCAGGTTCAGCCCCAGCCCGCACGGCAAAGCGCCTTCACCTGACGTTTCTGTCCTGGCAGGCGACAGCGACGTATTTCTGCGTGATGTCGATGTCCATGTCGTACAGGGTGGTTTTCTCGGCGACGTGGTGCATCCTGACGAAACTGAAGCCATCCGCCAGCTGCGGGGAGATGTGGAGAGCCACGTCGCCTTCTCACCCGTCCAGTTTTGGGGGAGAAATTGCAGATTCCTGCGGAGATGCCGCTGACCCACCTTTTGAGCATTGCGGAAATAAATGCTTTTATCGGCGCCGCAGCTTATCAGCTGAATGTCCCCGTTGCCTGAGCAAAGAGAGCACAGGGAAAGGCGATTAGAGATTATGTCCGTTCCAAAATCACCACCGAGTGAATCCAAAAAATGATTATGAACGAATCCATTAAAAAAACGATTCTTTTAAGATCTAGATGCAATCCACAGGTGGGATTTGCCCTGCTGTGGGTCCCCTCTGATGGATGGCTCGGTGCTCTTCATCTGGAGACGCCTGGTTTTAACAAAGAGCCCCCTCTAACGCAGACGTTGGTGTTTAGGTGCATAAATCCAGAAAAAAACCCAACATCTTCCAGGCAGAACAAGGCGAAGGGCAGCCCGGCGGGGGAATTTAAACGCAATTCTGCCACCTACCCCCAAATTTGACGGATGTTATCGCGGAGGAGTGATCATCCAGGGTTTGCTCCAGCTTGTAGTTGTTGTCTACGTTCAAGATGTGGATCAGCCTGTCTCTGCTCGCCGAAGCCAGCAGCGCTGCTCCTGGAGCCGCCGGAAAAGAGAGTGTTAAAATAGCGCCGCAAAGGTTTTTGTTATGAAAGGGGTCTATTCGCTGTCGTCCCCTGCAAAGATTTTGAGGTAAACTGGTTTCTGAGTTGGGTGTTAAAGGGGACGGTTACCCCCAGCGCAGGCTGAGCTGGGTTTTAATCTGCGTGGCCCCGGGGCTTGCCTCCAGCTCCTGGTGGCTTCTCAGAGGAGAGACCCTTCCCCACAAAGCTCATTTTTCTGGCTGCCTCAGCTCTTTTGGTGAAGCGGAAGCTTTCCCGCCGGTAAAAACCCATCACCAGTAAGCCAAGCCCCATGGCTCGCTGGCGACGCTCAAGGGCTTATCCGGTGGCAGCTTTCGGTCATCGCTGTCGGGGCGAAGCCTTACCGGTCTCCGGCTTCGAGTACTCCAAGCAGAGAACTTCCGAATCGTGAGCCTCCACTTTAGCCACCTCCTGCATGAACTGCAGCTCGTGTATCCTGCGAGGGAAGTGCGCCGTTGGCTCGGCTCCCAGAAACCAGGAGAGCGGTGCGGGAACACCGTTGGCCACGGTGAGGGGGCTCGGAGGTGCTCACGGCGGAAGGTGAACGGCTAAAACACACGGTGGGAGCCCACCCAGGGGCCCGACCGCCACCCTCCTCCTCCGGCTTTCGGCCGAGCGCGGCGCCACTTGCCTGAGGGTTCCTCCTCTGTCCCCCGATGCCAGGTGTTCCCCGTTGGGGCTGACCTGCATCACCCTCACCCCGGACTTGACGTCGAGGTGACCCAGGGTCTCGCTTCGGTTGGGCGCGCTGGAGGAGTCCTGGAGGTGCTGCGTGTTGTTGTCCACGTAGATGACGTTCAGCAGGGTCTTGGTGTGGGAGGAGAGGGGACAGTCGGGCTCCGGCAGAGCTCAGGCGGCTCTTTGGGGAGGGGAAGAGCCCACCAGGTCACCCAACGGCTCCCAGCTTCCCCACATTGTTTTCCCACGCTTCCCGTTCAAGGAACACCGGGATTTGAGAAGCGCAGCCGCGTCCTTTGGTCGTTCGGATAGAAATAGCAAATGCAGGAGAACAAAAAGCCATTCCCCAGGCTCGCTCTCATCACCAAAACCCACTTAAAACCGCGGCTCCTCTCCTGCTCGGGCAGCACCTCTGTCCCCGGAACGGCAAGAAGCCGACGGGAACCACCCCGAAACCTCCACCGACCTCATTTTCTAGAGGCAAATCCCACAAGGCAAGAAGCACGGGGAGCTGGCTGAGCTCCCCCGGCTGCTGGTGTGGTTTTGGGGTGCTGCCTTGGGCAGGAGGTGGGATGCAGCCCCCCCTCCTCGCTGTACCGTGCTGTAGGTGTCGCCCTGGGCAGGGCGCGTGGAGCCGCTTTCCAGGGCCCAGGCGCGGATGGTGTTGTCCGAGGAGCACGTCAGGAAGGAGCCGGGAGGCAGACAGGATCTCTGCTCCTCGAATTCGGGGTACACCTGCACCCAGGAGGGGGTTACACATCAGGGAGGCAGGGAAAGGAAAGCAGAGCGTTGGGGGGGGGGGGTGGGTGCCCCAAACCGCCCCCGGGGGATCTGCTCGCCCTCACCTCGACGCTCCAGACGAAGGAGCTGTGGAAAAGGTCCGACCAGACTTTCCTGATGCGGCGCAGGTCCCCGACGTCCCAGACGTAGATGCTGTGGTCTTTGTAGACGCAGGACAGCCAGCGGTTGCAGGCGTCGTAGGCCAAGGCGATGGTGTCGGGGTAGACCAGGTCTGGTCGCCTTCAGGGAGAGGGAAACGGAGTCGGGTTTTGGGGGGGGGGGGGGGGGGGAGCGGGGGGTGAACCCTCCAGAGCCCACCGAGCGCTTTGCTAGAGGCAGGTTTGGTTGAAATGGCGTCTGTATTGCAAAACGCGGCACCGAAACGAAGGGGGAAATGAAGCCTGGGGGGGGCCCTGCCCCTCGTAACCCCCGCAGCACCCTCCTGTCCTTCACCGCGCATAAAATCAGGCGCCGATTCAAACCTGCCTGAGCTCAAATCTCGGCCCAGATGAGGAAGGAGAGCTGCAGGGTCTGAAACCCCACGGAAATCGCGCTGGGTGGTTTGGGAGGGGGACAAAGCGGGGCCGCTGCTGCCCCCCTCGGCCGTGCGGTACCTCGGTGGGGGAGCCCGGGTGACGTCCACGCCCAGGGGATGAGGTTTGGGGAGGTCGCTCAGGTAACGCATGTCGCGAGCTTGGAAAATCCTGACGGTGCCGTCGGCGCAGCCGCAAAATATCAGCTCCTCGCTGAGGCAGAGGCAGTTTGCCAGCGGCACCTGAGGGCCGGAGCGGGTTGAGGTCCGTCCCGGGGGGCTTCACCCCGAGGAAAAGGGGGTGGAGGGGATCTGCCCCCCACCTTCAGGATGATCCATTTCTCCAGCACCCGCTTCCCGTTGAACTGGCAGAGCAGCCCCGAGGAGGAGACGCAGAAGGTGCTGCCCGCCATCAGCCCTCGCCCGCAGGCCACGCCGCAGAAAACGTTGTCGTGGAGCTGCCCCAGCAGCCCCGAGCGTCCCACCAGCGGCACCGTCTCGTTGACCTGCAGAGGTGACGCCGCCGACCCGGCGTTAACGAGCGTTAATGAAGAAAACGGCGCAGCCCCGGGTTTCACCCGCGGGCTTTTGCCGGCTGGAACATCCCCGGCTCCGGACTGAGCCCAAACACCCACCGCCTCGGGGTCTGGCGCCACGCGGCCGGAGCAAAACAACACCCAGGTATGACGCAAGGTGAATTGGGGGGGGGGGGGGGGGGGGGAAATGTGCCATTTCTGTGATTCTTTCTACAGAAACCACCCCCTCCCGCGTGATCTTCAGCGTCGGTGATGAGGGTTTAAGCAACACCCAGCCCCAGTTCGGCTTCGCCGGCCCCCGAGCGCCGTGGGACGGCATCGGCGAGGGGCACCCCCTCACCTTCAGCTCCCTCGAGGAGTCCAGGAACCAGAATTTGACGTGGCGGTGCCCCACGGTGACAAAATAGCTGTCCTCGGAGAAGGACACGGCCGTCACCTTGCAGGACACCTTATTCGAGGCGACCAGGGAATCTTTCTGCTCCGAAAGAAAGACGCGGTGGCGGCGTGAACCGAAAACCCGGAGCCGTAAGAAATTGGGTGAAAAGATGGAAAAGGGCTGTTTTCTCCCCGATCTGAGGCTGGTTGAAGCCAGCTCGCTTTGGCCGAAACTCACCTTCCAGTCCCAAACGTTGACCACCATGTCGTGGGGGTACCCCACCGACACCAGGTACTTGGCGCTGGGGGAGAAGGCGACGCAAGCCACGCCGTACTTGTGACCGTGCAACGCCGAGACCTGCGCCCGGTCCTCCACCTCCCAGACGCGGACGGCGGGTCGGTGCCCGTTCTGCGTGGGAGAAACACCGGCGTGACGGCGGTTTGCCCCTCCGCACCAGCCCCCCGCGGCCACCCGGCGCATCCTCCGGCCCTAAAGTGCGTTCTCACCCCCCCCACGTGATTCTGAACTGAGTGGAAACCCCCCCCCAAAAAAGCAAAAGAGGAATAATCGCGGCTACTCCGACCCAACAGCCAAAATCGGGGTGTAGGTGTCTGCAAATAAGTGGCACCCACCTCTCCGGTGACGATGAGCTTCCCGTCGGGCGAGAAGGCCAACGCGCTGAGGGTTTTCCTGGAAAATAGTGAGTTTTCTTGAAAAACTGGGCTGCTATGGAGAGCAAACGGGGGTTTTAGTGCACGGAGAAGGGAGGGAAAATACAAACGTTATTCCTGAAACCCGATGTACGGCACAGCTGGTGTTTGGGGGGTACCTGGAGGTGTTTGAGGGTACCTGGAGGCGTGTGAAGGATACCTGGGGGTATCTGAGAGCATCTGGAAATGTTTGGGGGGGGTATCTGGAGGCGTTTGGGGGTACCTTGGGATGTTTGGGGGTACCTGGGGGTGTGTAGCGGTACCTGGAGGTATTCAGGAGATATTGGGGGGGTTCCTGGAGGTCTTTGGGGGTACCCGGAGGTGTTTTGGGGTACATGGAGGTGGTCAGGAGGTGTTTGGGGTTCCTGGAGGTGTTCGGGGAGTACTTGGGGGTGTTTTGGAGGTACTTGAGGGTACCTGGAGGTATTTGGGGGATTCCTGGAGGTGTTTGAGGGGTTCCTGAAGGCGTTTTGGGGTACGTGGAAGTGTTCAGGAGCTGTTTGGGGTTCCTGGAGGTGTTTGGGGAGTACCTAGAGGTGTTTTGGGGTTCCTGGAGGTGTTCAGGAGGTGTCTGAGGTTCCTGGAGGTATTTGGGGGGGTTCCTGGAGGTTTTTGGAGGTACCTGGGGGTACCTAAGGGTGTTCAGGAGGTATTTGGGTGGCATCTGGAGGTATTTGGGGGGGTATCTAGAAGTGTTTTGGGGGTTCCTGGAAGCGTTTGGGGTTGCCTGGGGGTGTTCAGGAGGTATTTGGGGGGTACCTGGAGGTGTTTGGAGTTCCTGGAGGTGTTTGGGGAGTACCTGGAGGTGTTCAAGATGTGTCTCTGCGTGTTCTCCCGGGGATTCAGGATGACAACGACGCACCTGGATAAGAAAGGGGGGAAGTTTCTCCCTGGCTGGGGTTTTGGGGGGCACGGGAGGGGTCACGGGGGGGGTCCCCGTGGGTGCTCACCCGGCGGGGTAGGCGAGCAGCCCCGTGGCCGGGTCGCAGGCCAAGCCGCTGCTGGTCTGGGCGGTGATTCCCAGCACCTTCTCCAGTGTCACCTGGGGGAGAGGAGCAGGGGACCCCCCGGGCGTCTCCAGGGGCTGGAGAAAGTGGGGGGCAGAGGGGGGGTCCCCAGGAGGGGGGGGGGGGTGGGAGGGAGGGTGTGGCAGGGGTGGGGCTCTGAGCCCCCAGGGGTGGTACCAGGCACCCACAGTCCCCTCTGTGTCCCCCCCGCCCCCCGTGGGGACCCTCCCAAGTGCTGCCCCCTCCCCAGGCTCCGCCCCCGTGGGTGTCCCCCAGGCCTGCCCCCCAACCTCCCCTCGATGGGGGGACCCACAGATCCCACCCCCAACCCCAGGCCCCGCCCCATGGGGAGGAGGGACACACCCCAGCCCCGCCCCTCCCGAAGCCCCGCCCCCTCGTGAAGCACCGCCCCCGTGGAGCAATGATCCCACCCCCTCATTAAGCCCCGCCCATTAGAAACTCAAGCTCCACCCCTCCCGAAGCCCCGCCCCCTCGTGAAGCACCACCCCATGAACAATGATTCTGCCCCTCCTTAAGCCCCGCCCCATCTGGACGTCAAGCTCCACCCCCTCATGAAGCACCGCCCCATGGAACAATGATCCCACCCCCTCATTAAGCCCCGCCCATTAGAATCTCAAGCTCCACCCCCTCACGAAGCACCGCCCCCATGGAGCAATGATCCCAGCCCCTCATTAAGCCCCGCCCATTAGAAACTCAAGCTCCGCCCCCCATGAAGCACCGCCTCGTGGACCAACGATCCCGCCCCTCCTTAAGCCACGCCCCCATCGGAACCCCAACCTCTGCCCCCTCCCTAAACTCAACCCGTCTGAGCCGGAATCCCGCCCCCTCCCCAAGCCCCGCCTCCCCCAGTGCCTACGTTATGCAAGCCCCGCCCCCTCCCCAAGCCCCGCCTCCCCCAGTGCCGACGTTATGCAAGCCCCGCCCCCTCCCCAAGCCCCGCCTCCCCCAGTGCCGACGTTATGCAAGCCCCGCCCCTCCCCACGCCCCGCCTCCCCCAGTGCCGACGTTATGCAAGCCCCGCCCCCTCCCCAAGCCCCGCCTCCCCCAGTGCCTACGTTATGCAAGCCCCGCCCCCTCCCCAAGCCCCGCCTCCCCCAGTGCCGACGTTATGCAAGCCCCGCCCCCTCCCCAAGCCCCGCCTCCCCCAGTGCCGACGTTATGCAAGCCCCGCCCCCTCCCCAAGCTCCGCCTCCCCCAGTGCCTACGTTATGCAAGCCCCGCCCCCTCCCCAAGCCCCGCCTCCCCAGTGCCGACGTTATGCAAGCCCCGCCCCCTCCCCAAGCCCCGCCTCCCCCAGTGCCGACGTTATGCAAGCCCCGCCCCCTCCCCAAGCCCCGCCTCCCCCAGTGCCGACGTTATGCAAGCCCCGCCCCCTCCCCAAGCCCCGCCTCCCCCAGTGCCGACGTTATGCAAGCCCCGCCCCCTCCCCACGCCCCGCCTCCACTGGGCCCACAGGCCCCGCCCCGCCCCTCACCAGCGGCCGCCCGCCCCCGCGCCCCTCACCGCCTCTTCCAGGCCCTGGTGCCGCGATCGCCGCCGCGGGTTGAACGTCGGGGGCGAGTCGGGCCCGGCCGCGCCGCCCGCCGCCACCATGGCTCCGAACTGCGCGCGGTAAGCCGGCGTCCCCTCCCCACTGGTCGCTGCCCACGCCGCTCAGCACCACCGCCCAATGGCAGCGCGGCGCCGCCGGCCCCAGGCTCCGCCCCTGCCGCTCGGCGCCGCGCTCCGCCAATAGCGGGGCGGGCCGGAGCTGGCCCCGCCCCCCCGCTCGCGTGGGCCGCCGGTTCGAATCCCGCGGAACCCGCTCCCCGACGCCCGCCCGTTCGAATCCCGCGGAACTCGCCCTGCCGCCGCGTTAAAGCACCGCAGGAGGCGGCGTGGGTTCTTCACGGCCTCGCGTGTCACCTCACGCCCCGGGACAACGGCGCCGTTGAGAGCGTGGGGAGCCCCACGGGGGTAAAACCACGGCGCGCACTCCTCAATGCGCATGCGTCGTCGGGAGGAACGGGGGGGGGGGGAAGAGTGGGGGGAGAGGGGGCGGTGCGTGGTGACGCAGCACGTCGCGTCACGTGAGCGGGCAGCGGCCATGCCCAAGTACTGCCGGGCCCCGCACTGCTCGAACGCGGCGGGACAGGCCCGGCCGCCCGCCCGCCGCCTCAGCTTCTACAAGTCGGTACCGGGGAACGCCGGGAGGGGCGGGGCGGGGCCTCTGCCGGGAGCTCCGCCCACCGGGGAGGTGCCGGGGCTTGGACTTGAACCTCCAGTTCGGTGGGGGCTGGGTTGAGCCTGAACCTGAACTTGAGCGGGGTCTGGGTTTAGGCTTGAGCCTGAACCTGAACTTGAGCGGGATCTGGGCGGGGTTTGGGTTTAGGCTTGAGCCTGAACCTGAACTTGAGCGGGATCTGGGCGGGGTTTGGGTTTAGGCTTGAGCCTGAACTTGAACTTGAGCGGGATCTGGGCAGGGTTTGGGTTTAGGCTTGAGCCTGAACCTGAACCTGAACTTGAGCGGGATCTGGGCAGGGTTTGGGTTTAGGCTTGAGCCTGAACTTGAACTTGAGCGGGATCTGGGCAGGGTTTGGGTTTAGGCTTGAGCCTGAACTTGAACTCGAGCAAGATCTGGGCAGGGTTTGGGTTTAGGCTTGAGCCTGAACTTGAACATGAACTTGAGCGGGATCTGGGTTTAGGCTTGGGTCTGAACATGAACCTTAGGGGTCTGAGCCTAGGCTTGAGCCTGAGTGGGGTCTGAGCAGGGCCTGAGTCTAGGGTTGAGCCTGAACATGAGCTTGAACTTCAGTGGGGTCTGGGCTTAGGTTTAGGCTTGAGCCTGAACCTGAACTTGATCGGGGTCTGGGCCGGATCTGCAGCTAGGCTTGACCCTGAGCCTGAAAATGAACCTGAGTGGGGTCTGGTCTGGGCTTGAGCCTGAACATGAACCTGAGTGGGGTCTGGGCTGGGCTTGAGCCTGAACCTGAACTGGGACCTTTGGAGAGGGGCTAGTGGCTGGGGCGGGGGCGGAGGGACCCCCCCAGACCCCCCGTTCCCCCCCCCAGGTTCCCGCTGCACGACGCGCCGCGGCTGCGGCGATGGCTGGCGCAGATGCGGCGGGAGAACTGGGTGCCCACCCGCCACCAGCACCTCTGCAGTGACCATTTTGAGCCCTCCTGCTTCCAGTACCGCTGGGGTGTCCGCTACCTGCGCCCCGACGCCGTCCCCACCATCTTCCCCCGCAGCCCTCTGGTGAGCCCCCCCCCAAAATTCCCACCCCTCTCGGCCTTTAGGAGGATTTTGGGGTCCCTGCGAAGCACCTCGGGGGTCCCTGGAAGCGTCTTGGGGGGCCTGGAAGGGTGTGGGAGAGGGAAGGGTCCCCAGGAAGCACCATGAGGTCCCCTGGAAGCACCTCGGGGGTCCCTGGAAGCGTCTTGGGGGTCCCTGGAAGGGTGTGGGAGAGGGAAGGGTCCCCAGGAAGCACCATGAGGTCCCCTGGAAGCCCCTCGGGGGTCCCTGGAAGCGTCTTGGGGGGCCTGGAAGTGCCTCGGGTCTTCTGGGAAGGTCTGGGAGAGGGAAGGGTCCCCAGGAAGCATCTTGGGGGTCCCCCAGAACTACCTTGAGGTCCCCTGGAAGCCCCTCGGGGGTCCCCTGGGTTGGTCTGGGGGAGGGAAGGGTCCCTGGGAAGCACCGCAGGGGTCCCCAGAAGATTCTGGAAGAATCTAGAAGGTTCTAGAACCCCCCTCAGAAGGGGCTAGAAGCATTTTGAGGGGTGACGGGAAGCAGCTCAGAGGGTCCTGAAGGGTCCCCCGAGGGATTTTGAAGGTCCCCGAAAGGGTCTGGAGGGGGATTGTCACCTCAGGGTGACTTTTGTCCCCAGACCGGGGGGTTTGGGGGAGGAACGTGCACTCCCGCTCCGCCCTATTGCTGCAAAAACCTCCAAAAACCCGCGATTTGTGGGGGGGGTTTTGTTTGTTTGGTTTTTTTGTTTGTTTATTTGGGTTTTTTTCGACAGAAACAGGAGAATCCCAGCACGGCTCCGGGCGCCACCCGGCCTCCCCAACCCCTCCCGGCGAGCGGCCCCGCGCCGGTGACACCAACACAGCCCCTCACCCCTAAAACTGCCACCCCGACGCCCGGCTCAGCCCTAACGGCGCCGGGTGATGTCCCCGGTGCCGCCGCGTCGCCGGCAAACGTCGCGGCGGCTTTCCCCCGTCGCTTCCAAGGGGGTGCCGTCGCAGCTGAGCACCGAGGAGCTCGTGGCGGTGGCGCTGGTGCTGCAGCGGAAGGTGAAGGTGCTGCAGCAGCGGCGGCGGCGGCACCGCGCTCGCCTGGCCGCCATGGAGGGGCTGCTGCAGCGCCTGCGGCGCCAGAGCCGCCTCTCCGAGGAGAGGCTCCGCTCGGTAGGTGACAGCCGAGGGGACACGCGGGTGGCTTTTTTGGGGAGGGGGAGGGCGGGGGGGGGGGGGTGTCACACACACACACACACACCCCGGGTGGCAGCGGGGGGTTTCGCGGCCGCACCTCGGTGGCGTCGAGTCGGGGGCTTCCCCGTGCGTCACCCGGCGCTGTCACCCCGCCCAGGCCTGTTTGCAACCGGCGACACCGGCTCCCGCCGTCACCATCATCTGCCAAGAGGAGGAGGAGGAAGAGGAGGAAGAGGAGGAGCTGGTCTACGCCGCGCCACAATCTACGGCAACAACCTGTGGCCCCGAGCGGCCGTGACACCGGCGGCACCGGGAACCTGCTGGGACCTTGGGGGGTGTCACCTTCGCACTGGTTTTTTTTGGGGGGGGGGGGGGGGAGGGCTCCCATGGGTGCTCCACCCCCAAGGAGGGGACGCTTTATTTTTGTATTTAAGGTTTTATTTTGTGATACTGGGGCGGGACAGGGGGGTTGGGGACGGGGACGTCCCCCTGGTGTTAATAAAGGACGCTGGAGGTGAGCGGCTGAGGGGGTCTGCGTGTGACACCGTTGGGGGGTGGCTCGCTGGTGGCCTTGGGGACATCAGCCTCTCCTGGGCCGTCAGTAGGTTCCAGAGTTAACGGCAGGGAAAGGGCTGTTTGCAGTATGGCCACGCCCCCTTGTAACTCATAGATACGGGGGGGGGGGGGGCCTCTGGCCCTATAGCACCCATAGGTCACTGCAGCCTCTGCCACCATAATCCCCTCCCCCAGCCCCTGGGGGTTCCTATAGCCCCTCCCCCTGCCCCTATAGCTCCTCCCCTAGCACCTATGGGTTCCTAGAGCCCCTGCCCCTATAGCCTCTCCCCCAGCCCCTAAGGGTATCTATAGCCCCTACCCCTGCCCCTATAGCCTCTCCCCCAGCCCCCCGGGTTTCCTATAGCTCCTCCCCCAGCCCCCCGGGTTTCCTATAGCTCCTCCCCCAGCCCCCCGGGTTTCCTATAGCTCCTCCCCCAGCCCCCCGGGTTTCCTATAGCTCCTCCCCCAGCCCCCCGGGTTTCCTATAGCTCCTCCCCCAGCCCCCCCAGGTTTCCTATAGCTCCTCCCCCAGCCCTTATAGCCCCCTGTACCTCTCCCTATAGCTGTTCTCCAGCCTCAGCAGTCCCATATAGCCTCCATACCCTCCATGGCCAATCCCCAGCCCCTGGGCCCCTCTTCCAAAATCTCATAGGGTTCTGTTCCAAATCACAGCTCCTCTCCACCACCTACAGATTTTTTTCCAGCTCCCTATAGGTGCTCTCCAGCCTCTACCATTGCTCTGCAGCTCCCTATAGACCCCCTCAAACCTCGATTGCCGCTGGCCCCTATAGCCCCTTCCCAGCCTTGACCAGCCCCCTGGAGCCCCTTCCCAGAGCCTATAGGTCCCCATAGGTGCTCTCCAGCTGCTCATAGTCCTCCATAGCCCCAAAGCACTTCTTCAGCCCCTATAGGCCACCTCCAGCCTTTACAGCTGCTCCCTGTCACCTATAGCTCCCCAAAGCTGTCTGCAGCCCTGCACCAGCTCCTATAGACCATATAGCTGCTCTTGTGCCACTATAGCCCCCATAGCCATCTATAGCTGCTCATCATCTCCCTAGGGTCCCCTATGGCCCCTATGGCTGCTGTATGGCCTGTATGATCCCCCATCGGTGCTCTGCAGCAGCCTCCGTCACCCCTATAGCCACTTGTCATCACCTATAGTCCCCTGTAGCTGCTGCCCCATAGCCCCATGGTCCCTATCCTATACCTGCTCTGCAGCCCCTATAGCAGCTCACTCCCCTGTGGTCCCCTATAGCCCCTACAGCAGCTCACCATCCCCTAGGGTCCCTTATAGCCCCTATAGCAGCTCACCATCCCCTAGGGTCCCCTATATCCCCTATAGCAGCTCACCATCCCCTAGGGTCCCCTATAGCTACCCATAATCCCCCATAGTTCCTATAGCTTCTCACTATCCCCTACGATCCCCTATAGTTGCTCATCATCCCCAATAGCCCCTATAGCAGCTCGCCATCCCCTCTGGCCCCCTACACGCCCCGTCCCCTATAGCCGCTGCCAGGCCCCGCCACCCCCAGCCCCGCCCCTCCAGCCCCCCCCCACGCCCCGCCCACCTGAGCCCCCCCCCCCGGGAGGGTCGCGCATGCGCGCTGCGCCCAGCCCATCCCGCCGGCCGCGTCCCCAGCAGGTACCGGGCGGGGGCCGAGGATGGGGGGGGGTCGGGGGCCGGGAACCGGGGCCGGGACCGGGAACCGGGAGCCTCCCCACCCCCATCCCAGTGCCGCCATCCGCCCCCCCCGGCCCCAGCGCGGCCCCGGGCCCCCGCCCGGCCCCCCCCCCGGCGCGGCCCCCCCCCCGGCCCATCCGCATCCCGGGCCCCTCGTCCCAGTCCCTCCATCCCCATCCCAGTCCCTCCATCCCTGTATCCCCATCCCGGTATCCCATCCCAATTCCCTATCCCTGTATCCCCATCCCGGTATCCCATCCCAGTAACCCTATCCCCATTCCAATACCCCCCACCCCACTATCCCACCCCCATCCCACTATCCCACCCCAGTAACCCTGAGCTGTCCCCACCCCACTATCCCACCCCTGTATCCCATCCCCATCCCAGTGCCCCATCCCATTTAGCCCTGTCCCCATCCCAGTAACCTTGTTCCTGTCCCCATCCCAGTGCCCCATCCCAGTAGCCTCATCCTCATCCCAGGATCCCTATCCCAGTATCCCACCACAGTATTCCATCCCCACTCCAGTATCCCATCCCAGTAACCCACCCCCATACCCGTGTCCCCACCCCAGTATCCCCCCTCATCCCACTATCCCATCCCAGTAACCCTGTGCTGTCCCCATCCCCGTAGCCCGTCACCATCCCGATATCCCATCACATTGAACCCTGTCCCCATCCCAATATCCCATCCCAATATCCCACACCAGTATCCCATCCCAGCTGCCCCATCCTCATCCCACTATCACATCCCACTATCACATCCCAATATCCCATCCCAGTATCCCATCGCAGTAGCCCCATCCTCATCCCAGTCTCCCCACCCCACTATCCCATCCCCACCCCACTCTCCCACCCCACTCTCCCACCCCACTCTCCCACCCCACTCTCCCACCCCCACCCCATTATCCCATACCAGTACCCCCCCTCATTCCCCCAACGCCAGGCAGAAGCTGGGGGGGAGGGGGAGGAATAGCCCCCCCAAAGCCGCCCCCCTCCCCCCCCCACTGTGTGTCCCCCCCTCAGGCCGTTGCCATGACAAAGGAGCGGGGGGGGGACCCCCCGGCGGGGGGGGCGCTGCCCCCTGACGCCCCCAGCCCCACGCTGGAGCGACGCAAGAAGCCGATGGTGCACCCCGCCGCCCCCGCACCCCTCCCCAAGGATTACGGTGAGACACCCCCCCCAGTTCACACAGGGGACCCCGTGGGGACAGGACACCCCCCCCCCCCCCCCAAAAAAAAAAAAAAACCAAACTTGGGGGGACACAGGGAGGGGATCCGAGTGAGGATTCTCTGATGGCTGATATAGGGTTGTGCACCCCCGCAGGGGTGTCTGTCCCTCCTTCATAACAGAGGGACCCCCCCCCGCCAATTTAAGGACAGGGATGTCTGCCCCCCACCCATGGGGATAGGACAACTTCCCCCCCTCCCCCCAAAAAAAAAAGCTGGGGGGTTGATGGGCGGCACCTAAATGGGGGTTCTCTGATGGCTTATATGGGGTTGGACAGTGTTGGGGTCCTGAGGTGCCCCCCAGTCTGGGGACAGGGAGACTCCCCAGGGAACAGGGGACCCCGTAGGGACAGGACCGTGTGTGTGTCCCCCCCCTCAAAAAAAAAGCTGGGGGGGGGCACAGGGAGGGGACCTAAGTGGGGATTCTCTGCTGGCTGCTATGGGGTTGTGCGCTGCTGGGTGCCCCCCCTGTTGTGGTCATGTGGTCAGTGACACCCCCATAGGGACAGTGTCCCCCCCCATGAAGACAGACACCCCCCCTTTATCACAGAGACTCTCCTCATGACAAGGGACCCCCATGGGGTGGGCTTTGAGGCCCCAATTGGGGATTCTCTGATGGCTGATACATGGTTGTGCACCATGGGGTGCCCCTCCACTGCCCCCCCTTGTGACCCCTCTTGTGTCACACTGTGTCACCACCCCCCCCCAATGTCCCCCTCCCTCAGCCTTCACCTTCTTTGACCCGAACGACGCGGCGTGCCGGGAGATCCTGCTGGACCCTCGCACCACTGTCCCCCAACTCTTCGCCATCCTGCGCCAGTGGGTGCCCCAAGTGCAGCACAAACGTCGACGTCATCGGCAATGAGGTGGGGGGGGGGGGGGGGGGGGGGGGGGGGGAGGGAGAGGGGGGGCTAGGGTGCTGGGGTGGGGCTCAGGGTCCCAGGGTGGGGGCAGGGTGCTGGGGCAGCTGTGGGAGCGGGGGGAAAGGAATGAGGGGTGTCATGGTGGTAACCGGGAGCGGCGGGAGGGGAAGTGGGGAGGAGCTGGGAGCTGGAGGGAGGGTACTGGGAGGGGAACGGGGAGCACTGGGGGGGGACTGGGAAGGTCCGGGAGCACTGGGGGGGGACTGGGTGCCCTAGGGGAGTTACTGGGAGGAACTGGTGTGACTGGGCAGATCCTGCGCCGCGGGTGCCACGTCAACGACCGGGACGGACTGACGGACATGACGCTGCTGCACTACGCCTGCAAGGCCGGCGCCCACGGCGTGGGTGGGTGACACGGCCGGCCCCACGGCCCCACGGCCCCAGTATCCCAGTGCCGCCATCCCCACGTCACCGGTGTCCCCACGGCCCTGCATCCCCAGTGCCACTGTCCCCACGGCCCCCGTGTCCCCGTGTCCTCAGTGCCCCCAGTATCCCCAGTCCTGATGTCCCCACGTCCGCAGTGTCCCCCCGTCCCCCTGTCCGGTGTCCCCAGTGTCCCCATATCCTGTCCCAGTGCCCCCTCCAGCCCTGTCCCCATGGGGGTGTCCCCAGGGCGACATCCCCATCCCCATGTCCCCCCAGAGTGACATCTCTGTCCCCATGTCCCCCCAGAGTGACATCTCTGTCCCCATGTCCCCCTGGGGTGACATCCCTGTCCCTGTGTCCCCTTGGGGTGACATCCCCATGTCCCCCTGGGGTGACACCCTCATCCCTGTGATGGCTGTCCCCCCAGGGTGACACCCCTGTCCCTGTGTTCCCCTGGGGTGACATCCCCATCCCCACACCATGTCCCCGTTCCACCCCCCCCCCCCTTGGGGTGACATCCCTGTCCCCTGTGTGTCCCCCAGGGGACCCCGCGGCCGCCGTGCGCCTCTCGACGCGGCTGCTGGCGCTGGGGGGGGACGTGACGCTGCGCAGGCCGCTGGACCCACATGAACGCCCTCCACTACGCCGCCTACTTCGACGTCCCCGAGCTCATCCGCACCCTCCTGCGAGCGGCAGCCCCCCGCGGTGAGTGGGGGGCACCCCGACACTGGGACGGGGGACAGAGAGGGGGGACAGTGGGGTGCCTAGAGGGAAGGACACTGGGGCGCCCAGGGGGATGGATACGGGGATCCGGGGGGGGGAAGGACAGTGGGGTTCACTGGGGGGCAGGACACTGGGGACCCAAAGGGAAATGGATATTGGGGTCCCTGGGGGGCAGGACATTGGGGTCCCCAGGGGTGGGAAGGACATTGGGGTCCCTGGGGAGAAGGATATTGGGGTCCCCGGGGGAAGGACATTGGGGTCCCTGGGGAGAAGGATATTGGGGTCCCCGGGGGACAGGACATTGGGGTCCCCAGGGGTGGGAAGGACATTGGGGTCCCCGGGGGAAGGACATTGGGGTCTCGGGGGTTGGGGCAGGACATTGGGGTGCCAGAGGATGGGACACCGGGGCGCCCAGGGGGATGGATACTGGGATCCAGGGGGGGAAGGATAGCGGGGTTCACTGGGGGGCAGGACACTAGGGACCCTGGGGGAACAGGACATCGGGTTTCCTGGGGGGCAGGACCCCAGGATAGAGGTTGAGGGGGGGGTCAGGACCCCGAGGTGCCGTGGGGTGCCCCCCCGGGGCTGGCCGTGCCTCAGTTTCCCCTCCCTTGCAGTGCTGCACTCGACCTGCAGCGATTTCAGCCACGGGACGGCCCTGCACATCGCGGCCTCCAACCTCTGCCTGGGCGCCGTGCGGTGCCTCCTGGAACACGGGGCCGACCCCGCGCTCCGGGTACCGCGGGGGGCACCGGGGGGCTGCGGGCAGCGGGAGGGAGCGGGGGATTGAGGGTGGAATGGGGAGCGGAGGGGGGATTGGGGCCACGGGGGTGCTGGGGGGTTGGGAGGGATTGGGGTGGGGGGGAATTGGAGGGGGCATTGGGGAGATTGGGGGATCAGGGGGTGTTGGGGGGATTGAGAGGGATTAGGGGATTGGGAGGGATTGGGGGGATTGAGGGTGTCACGGGGGATGGAGGGGGATTGGGGCTGTGGAGATGCTGGGGGGTTGGGAGGGATTGGGGTAGTGGGGGGAATGGGGGGATTTGGGGGGATTGGGAGGGATTGAGGGTGTCACAGGGGATTGAGGAGGATTGGGGCCATGGGGGTGCTGGGGGATTGGGGGGGGTAATGGGGGGTATTGGGGGGGCACTGGAGGGATTTGTGGGGTGATGGACGTATTGAGAGGGATTGGGGGGATTGGGAGAGATTGGGGGCCACTGGGGGAGATTGAGGGTAGTTGATGGGGATTGAGTTATTGGGGAGCTTGGGAGGGATTGGGGGGCACTGGGGGGGCATGGGGGGCACTGGGGCAGATAAGGATATTGGGGATACTGGGGGTATTGAGGGGTGTTGGGAGGATTGGGTTACGGGGGTATATTGGGAGGGATTGGGGGTTTAAAGAGGCCTTGAGGGAATTTGGGGGGACTGGGAAGAATTGAGGGGTGTTGGGGGCTACTGGGGTATATTGGGAGGGATTGGGGTATGGGGGGCGTCAGGGGTTATTGAGTTATTTGGGAGATTGGGAAGGATTGGGGTTCAGGAGGTATGGGAGGGGGGGAACTGGGGGGACTGGGGAATATTGAGGGGTGTTGGAGGGATTAGAGTTTTGGGGGGTATTAGGAACATTCAGGCTATTTGGGGCATGGGGGGGATTGGGGGGTACTAAGAGGTACTGGTGTGTTGGGATACTGGGGGATATTGGGGCCGCTGGAAGGAACTGGGAGGGGTTGGGCATCTAGGGATGGGTGGGGGTATTGGGGGTGCTGAGAGGGATTGGGGTGTCAGAGCTGGGGGGGGTTCGGAGCGGTCTGGGGGTGTGGAGGGTGATGGGGGTGGCGGGATTATCGTGGGCATCACAGTATTGGAGGTCTCCGGGGGGTGCAGGGCTGTGGGGGTCCGCTCCCACTGGGTACCCCCCAAACCAACACCACCCCCCAAAAAATTTCCACCCCACCCCCCCCTCCAGAACAGCAAGGGTCAGGTGGCGGCCGAGGTGGTCCCGGACCCCACGGACATGGCGCTGGACAAGGCGGAGGCGGCGCTGGCGGCGCGGGAGCTGCGGCGGCTGCTGCTGGACGCCGTCCCCCTGAGCTGCAGCCTCCCCCGCGTCACCCTCCCCAACTACGACAACCTCCCCGGGAACCTCATGCTCCTCTGCCTCGGGCTCCAGCTGGGCGACCGCGTCCGCGTCGACGGCGGGAAGGTGCGGGGGGGACACGGGGCACACGGGGGGGACGTGGGGGACACACGCGGCAGCCCGGAGGGGCGCGGGCAGCACCCATGCGGCCAGGGGATGCTCTGGGTGGGGATGCGGGCACGGCGCGGGGGTGAGATGGGGGCTTTGGGGTGGATAGTGGAGGTTTGGGGTGTATGAAGGGGTTTGGGGTGCACAGATGGGTTGGGGGGGGGGCGCTGGGGGCTCCCAGAGGGTGCAGGGTGCCAGCAGCACCCAGCCGCAGTGTGGGGCACCCTCAGCAATGTGGCTAAAGGGCTAATTTGGGGTGCAGGGAGAGGGTGCTGGGGAGGATGTTGGGGTGCAGGGGGCACCCACGGCTGCTCTGTCTCCCCCCCCCCAAAGGTGGGGACCCTGCGGTTCTGCGGCACCACGGCCTTCGCCAGCGGCCAGTGGGCGGGAGTGGAGCTGGACGAGCCCGAGGGCAAGAACGACGGCAGCGTGGGGGGGGTCCGCTACTTCATCTGCCCCCCCAAACAGGGTAATTGGGGGGGACCCCTGGGGGGGGGACACACACCCTGGGGACCCCCCCAACCGCCTGGGTCCCTCTGGGGGCGCACAACACCCCAATCCCTGGGGCGGGGGGGGGATCCAGTTGTGGGGGGGGGGGGGGGAGAATTTGGGCTGCTCAGGACACTTTGCGGAGGAGGAGGGGGGGACAGTCGGGCCATACGGGGCCATACGGGGCCGTACGGGTCCATACGGGGCCATACGGGGCCATACGGGGCCATACGGAGCCATACAGGGCCATACGGGGCCATACGGGGCCATACAGGGCCATACAGGGCCATACGGGGCCGTACGGGTCCATACGGGGCCATATGGGGCCATACAAGGCCATATGGGGCCATATGGGGCCGTACGGGGCCATACGGGGTTCCTACTGCCCTGACCCCCCCCGCCCCCCCAGGTGTTTTCGCCTCCGTCTCGAAGATCTCCAAGGCGGAGGAGCAGCCCCCGGTGCCATCGCCCCCCCATAGCCCCTCGGGACCCCCGGCGCGAGCCCCCCACAAGAGCCGCAAGGACAAGAGAGGTGCGCCCGGTCCTCGTGCCACCCCCCCCCCCCCCCCCCAAAAACCCACCCGGACACCAGGGTCCCCCCCCAGCCCCCCCAGACATCAGGGTCCCCCCCCCCAGATGCCCCGGGGTCCATTATCCCCCCTCCCCGGTTCCCCCTACTTGGTCTCTCCCAAGCTCTTTACTCTCCCCCTCCCTTTGGCTCCGCCCCCCTGTGCTTATTGGGGGAGCGCAGGGATTGGGTGCATGGGCGGGGCGTGGTGAAACCCCACCCACCCCGGGGGGAGGTGGGGTGGGGTCAGCACGGAGGGGAGGTGTCTGCTCTAGCCCCGCCCCCACCACGGTGCCACCACCGGGGGGGCGGGGTCATAGCGGGAGGGGGCAGAGCTGGGGGGGTGGAGCTGGACATGAAGGGGCGTGTCCCAAGTGACCCCGCCCCCCGGGAGGCTGGTGGGGGTGGGATCAAGGAGGGGGCGTGGCTGTGACTAGGCAGGGAATGGGGCGGGGGGTCACACGTCATCGGGGGCGTGGCCTGCATGACCCCACCCCATGGCAACTGCTGGATAGAGGGGCGTGGCTGGACAGGGAGGGGCGGGGAGCAGTGTGAATGAGGGGCGTGGCCATGGGATGGGTGTGGCCATGGGATGGGTGTGGCCATGGGGTGGGTGTGGTTTGGCTGACCCCACCCCCCAGCCCCTTGGAACATGGGGGGGGTGTGGCTGGACAGGGAGGGGCGGGGGGCGGTGTCAATAAGGGGCGTGGCCACGGGATGGGCGTGTCAGCGGATGGGCGTGTCAGCAGATGGGCGTGGCCGGCCCGACCCAGCCCCCCGGGAGTGGGGGGGCGTGGCTGGAGAGGGAGGGGCAGGGGGCAGTGTCCACGAGGGGCGTGTTCGTGGGGTGGGCGTGACCATGTGTGGGCGTGGCCTCTCTGACCCCGCCCCCTCAGCCCCCCGGAAGCGCGGGGGGGGCGTGGCTGGACAGGGAGGGGCGCCGCGTGGCCCCGGGGGACGCGGTGCTGGTGGCCGGACAGCGCCCGGGACGGGCCCGGTTCTACGGGCGCACCGACTTCGCCCCCGGTGAGAGACCCCCCCCAACCGCGGGGACCCCCCTGGGGGCCCCCCGAACCCCCGACCCCCTTACCCAACCCTCCCCAATCTCATGTGCCCCCCCCATTTATTCCCACCCTCAGGGTACTGGTTCGGGGTGGAGCTGGACTCGGCTGGCGGGAAACATGACGGCTCCGTTTTTGGGGTGCGGTACTTCTCGTGCCCCCCAAACACGGCGTGTTCGCCCCCCCCTCCCGCGTGCAGAGGTACCAGATGGGGGGGGGGGGGGATCATGGAAAGTGGGGGGGTCATGGAAAGTGGGGAGACGGACACACACGGACACACACACACGGGGGGGGGGGGGAGATGGAGGGGAGACGGGATTTGGGGGGGTCACCCGTGATTTTGGGGGGACACGAGGGGGCTCCGGTGTCCCCCTGTGACCCCCCCCCCCCGCTGTCCCCAGGGTCGGGGGTCCCAGGGAGGAGCCGGGGGACAGCGCCCCCGAAAAGAAGGTCCAGCAGGTCACCGGTGCGTGCTGATTGGCTGGTGGGGGAGGGCGGGGACTTTGTGATTGGCTGGCAGGGAGGCTGGGGTGCTGCTGATTGGCTGGTGGGGAGGTCAGGTCACTGCCGATTGGCTGGCAGGGAGGCTGGTTGCCCGATTGGGGGGGAGCGGATTGGCCTGGTGGGGAGGGCAGGGCACTGCCGATTGGCCGGGGTGGGCTGGGCCATTGCTGATTGGCCAGCAGGAAGAAGGCTTGCTGCTGATTGGCTGGGGAGGGGGGATTTTTGTTGTTGATTGGCCAGCAGCCCAAGGAGCAGCTGATTGGCCAGCAGGCAGGGGAAAGTCTCAACCTGATTGGCTGGCCGTGCCCAGCCCTCCCCCCCCGCCCCCCATTTCCCCACCCCCTGCAGTGGCTGGGGGGGGGGTGGGGGGGCTGTGACCGTGTGTGTCCCCCCCAGTGTCACAGCCCAAGCGCAACTTCCCGGCAGTGCGGACCCCGAAGGACATCACCTCCGAGAGCTCCTTCTCCAGGTGGGGGACGGGCAGACGGACACCGATGGGAGGGGGGGACGGGACTGACACAGACGGACAGGGGGACACCCCCCCACCCCCCCGGGAGGTGTCCGTCCCCCTCCCGCCCACGGTGACCCCTCTGTCCCCAGGTTACTCTTCTGCTGCTGGTTCCCCTGGATGCTGCGGGCCGAGATGCAGTCCTAACCCCGCCCCCCCCCCCCCCAACCTTGCTGTGCCCCCAGCCCCCCCCCCCCCTTCCCCACCCAGTGCCTTGCTCCCCTCCCCCACCCGGGGAGACGTGATGTGACACACCCCCCCCCAAACCCCTCCACTTGGCGCCGGGCTGTTCACTCTGGAACCTACTGATTACCATGATGGAGGGGAAGGGGGGGGAGTTGAGGCCAGCCCCCCCCAGCCCCTCCCCTAATCCCTGTTTTGGCCTGTTCACCCTGAAACCTACTGATGACAGTGATGGGGATTTGCTGCCAGCCCCCCTCCCAAACTCCTCACCTGCCCTCCCATTTGGGCTGTTCACTCTGGACCCTACTGATTATCCCTGTGAGGAGCGCGCCTATGCCAGCCTCCCCCCCACCTGGGGTCATTCACTCTGGAACCTACTGCCTACAACTGGGGGGACGAAGGGGTTTCATGCCAAGGCCCCTTCCCAAGCCTATTCCTGAGCCGTTAACTCTGGAAACTACTGATTATACCCAAGGGGGGGGGCGTTGTGTGGAAAACTGGTTTATACTGAGTCGGTGGATTCTCCAATGGCTGCTAGTGGGGTTGAGGACACCCCCCCACCCCCCAGAAAAAAGGAACCAGGCAACTGGAAGGTGCAGAGGGGGGAGACCTGGGACCAATGGCGTCGTGCTCCCCAAACCCCCCCACCCCCCCGCAGTAGCAATAACGTCCCCTCCCCCGCGATTGTGTGAGTGGCTTTAATGTGTCCCCCCCCCATGTCCCCCCCCCTCGCTGCCGCATGGTCACCCCAGACCCGCTTCTGCCACCAATAAACACCTTTGTACGTCCTACGACTCCGGAGGGGGACCCCAAAGATGGCGGGAACACCCCAAAGCTGGGGAGGAAACCCCAAAAATGAGGACATGGGGAAACCCCAAAATTGGGGGAGGGGACCCCAAATCTGAGGGGGGGAACATGGGAGGGAGCATGGGGGGGGGATCCTAAAGCTGGGGGGAGGCATAAGCAGGGGTGTGGGGGGACCCCAAAGCTGGGGGGGGGAACACATCAAAGATGAGAAGGCGGGGGGGGGATCCCAAATCTGGGGGGGGGGCATGGAGGGGTGTGGGGGGACCCCAAAGCTTGAGGGAGACATGGAGGAAGGTGTGGGGGAGACCCTAAAGCTGGGAAGGAGTGTAGGGGGAACCCAAACCTTGGGGGGGGGGTGACATGAAGGGGCGTGGGGAGACCCCCAAAGTTGGGGGGCGGCATGTGGGGGTGTAGAAGGACCCCCCAAAGCTGGAGGGGGACATGGGTGGGGTGTGCAGGGACCCCAAAGCAGGGGGGGAGGACCTTAAAGCTGGACAGGATATGGGGGGTAGGACGACTCCGGGGACCCCAAAACTTGGGGGGGGGGGGGGCATGGAGGGAGTGTGGGGTCCCTGGTTTTGGGCACTGGGCTACAGGGTAGTTGTCCCAAAATCTGCATTTTTTTTAACCACAATGAGCCAAAAACCACCCAGAGCTGCAAGGTGGGTGCTGACCCCCACAACACCAGCGCCCCCCCCTTCTCAGGTAACACATGGGGTTGCTGAGGGGTCACCCCCACAATGCCCCCCCCCCCCCCCCTTAGGTAACACCCGGGGGACATTTTTACACCCAGAATGCCCGGTTTTGGTGCTTTTTTTCCAAAGTTTGGTCACTCTCACGCTCAGGGCTCGTTGCCTCATTTGTATTGCTCTTGTTGGGTGATGAAGGGGCTTTTTTGAGGGGAAACACACACTTCTTTCTACTCGAGGAAAGGGTATTTTATAATATTTATGAGGAAAATTCAGGGAGATATTTGTATTTATTACAATTTTCTGCAGAAAAAGGTGCTGGGCACCCACAGCAGCCAGCACCCCAAATTACAAACACACACATTTATTTTATTTCAAACACACAAACCCATGCCTCTATATGTAATTATTGGTTATTTTTTATCACGGCATCACCCATTGGCTAGTTTTATTCCTCACTTTCATTTAAAGATCGCAGTATTTTGCTATTAAATGCCCGCGTGCTCAGAGGGTGAGGGGCTTCATGAAAAGGTGGGTAATTTAACCTGTAGAAGCGGGTTTTTTTATAGAATAACGAACACCAAAAATAATTACTTTTCACAGCGTGGTTTCACACCTCCGTTCCCTCGGCCATAAATTTTAACAGTGTAAGATAAATTTTAACAACGCTAGAACTAAGCCGTAAATTGGCTCACAGCAACCGTGAGCCCGGTTAGAAAAATACAACTCAGACTCCGAGCTGCAGACCGCGCCAGAAACGCGGCGGGTTCGGCTTTGCCCAATTTTTGCTCTTTTATAAGAGCAAAAGGGAGGCGGCACCTCCCCCACCCCACCTCCTCCCGGCGCGCCGCGGCGCCGTCACACGCGCGACCTTCCCCGGGTGGCCCCGCCCCCGGCGCCGTGGCCCCGCCCCCGCCCCTCGGCCCCGCCCCCTCGGCGCTAGGCCCCGCCCCCTCGGCGCTAGGCCCCGCCCCCGCAGGGCGCTCCCGGCCGCCCGGGTCCCGCAGTCGCTCCTCAGCCGCCGCCGCCGCGCCCGCAGGTACCAGGACCCCCCCCCTCCGCCCCCCCCCCCCGGACACCCCCTCCCGGGCCCCCCCCAACCGGGACACACCCCCCCGGGGCTCCCCCCCCCCCCGGGGCTCCCCCCGGTCCTTCCCCTCCGCTAACGGCTCCGTGACTCAGCCCCGGCCCCGCCCGGTTCCCGGAAATCCGCACCCGGAGTCGGGAGGGTCTGAGCCCCCCACCCCCCCACCCAGGGGGGATCTGTAGCGCCCGGGGGGGACCCATAGGGGCTGCGGTTATCTATAGGGCTGGGGGGACCCGTAGGGCTGGGAGATCTTTAGGAGCTGGGACTATCTATAGGGCCCGGGGGGGGATCCGTAGGGCTAAGGGCTATCTATAGGGCATGGGGATCTATAGGGCCTGGGGGAGTGCATAGTGCCGGGGCCGTCTGTGGTGCCCAAGGGGATCCATAGGGCCCACGGGGGTCTGTAGGGCCTGGGGGGCTCCACAGTGCTTGGTGGGGGCGGAGGGTGTTATCCATAGGGCGTGGAGTGCTCTATAGGGTCTATGGGATCCTTCAGGCGCCCACAGTGTTGGGGAGGGCTTATGGGTCCTGAGGAGGACCTATAGAAAATGGGGGTCCGTAGGTTCCGGGGGTATCTATAGGGCCCAGGGAGGTTGGGGGCGTGTGTCTATAGGACCTGGGTGGGGCTATAGGGTCTGGAGGAGCCTATAGCGCCGTGGGGCATCATCTAACGCTGCTCTCTCCTTCTCTTCCAGCCTCTCCCAGTGCTCCCAGTACCCTCCAGTGCCCCCCAAGGGCCCTCCCTGTACCCCCCCAGTCCCCCCCAAGGGCCCTCCCTGTACCCCACCAGTACCCCACCAGTACCCCCCAGCGCTCCCAGTGCCCCCTCTTTGCGGGGACCATGTTCCTGGTGAAGGGGCTGCTGGGGGGGGGCGGGGGCGGGGGGGGGCGGGGGGGGGCTCCCCGGGGGCATCGGCTCGGTGCTGGGGGGACTGCTGAGCGGAGGGGGTGCGGGGGGGGCGCGGGGGGGGCGCCGGGGGGGCCATGGGGGTCCTGGGGGGCGTCATCAGCGCCATCAGGTGAGGGAACGTCAGGGATGGGGACACACACACGCGCACGCACACACACGCACACACACGCACACACACACACACACCATGGGGGGATATGGGGGGGCTGTGGGGTGAGGGGCATTGGGGTCATGGGGGGGACATTGGGGACACGGGGTTGAGGGTGTGACAGGGGGTGGGGGGACATTGGGGACGTGGGGTGGAGGGTACATGGGGGACGTTGGGGACACAGGGTTTGGGGGGGGGACATGGGGTTGGGGGGGACACTGGGGATGTGGGGTGGGGGGACACATGGCCACTGGGGACATAGGGGGACACTGGGGACGCGAGGATGGGGGGACACAGGGGACATTGGGGCCACGGGGGATTTGGGATTGGGGGACACGGGGGGGACATGGTGGGGACAGGGGGGTGGGGGTGACACTGGGGGGCTGGGACACCCGGGGTGCTCTGACCCCCCCACTCCCCCCTCAGCGAAGCGGCCGCCCATTATAACCCTGAGCCCCCAGTAAGTGACCTTTGACCCTGAGACACCCCCCCACCCCTTCCCCAAAGTTTTGGGGTTTCCCCCCGCGGGTTTGGGGATCCCCCTTGACCCCCCCCGTGCCCCCCCCCAGCCCCCCCGCACCCACATCTCCACGGTGGATGCCAACGAGAGCGAGGAGGTGCGGCAGTTCCGGCGGCTCTTCGCCCAGCTCGCCGGGGATGTGAGTGATCGCTCGATCCCCTGAGATACTCCCAGGATCCCCCTGACCCCCCCAGGATCCCCCAACCCCCCCCAGGCCCCTTTACCCCCAAGGATCCTCTACTACACCCCTCGGATCTCCCTGGATCTCCCAGATCCCCCAAGATCCCCCCCTTCTCCCAGGATTCCCAGACCCTACTAGATCCCTCCCATCCCCTTGGATCTCCCAGGATCCACCCCCAGTCCTCCCGGGATCCCCAGACCCTACTGGATCCCTCCGGTCCCCCTGGATCTCCCAGATCCCCCCAGGATCCCCCCCCAGTCCTCCCAGGATCCCCAGACCCTACCAATCCCTCTAGTCCTCCTGGATCTCGCAGATCCCCCCAATCCTCCCCAGGCCTCCTCTGACTCCCCCAGGATCCCCCCCAAACCCCCAAGGGATTCCCAGTTCTTACTGGATCCCTCAGACACCCTCCACCCCTTCCAGATCCCCCCAGACTCCCCCCCCCCATTCCTCCCAAAGCCCCCCAGGGTCTCCCAACCCCCCTGCCCTCGCCCCGAACCTCGGGGATCTCTGCTGGATCCTCCTCCCAGATCCTATGGGATCCCTTGGATCTCCCAAGATCCCCCCCAATTCCGCCCCCCGCCCCGGGCTTCCCACAGGCTCCCCCAGCTTTCAACCCTCCCCTGATCCCATGGGGGGGGAACGTGTGCCCCAGGATCCCCCCAACTGGATCCCCCCCCCTCCCTGATCCCCCGGGATCCTCCCCCGGTCCCCAGTGGGTCACTGGATCCCACGGGAGCCCCTGAGCACCCCACACCCCCCCAATCCCTGGGGGGGAGGGAGGGGAGGGCTGATCCCTCAGGGTGAGGGAGCACCCCAGGGTGGGGGGCACCCGCGGGTGGGGGGGGTCAGGGTGCCCCCACCTCAGGGTGGGGGTCAGGGTAGGGGGGCACCACGACCTCCCCCCATCTCCGGCAGGACATGGAGGTGAGTCCCACCGAGCTCATGAACATCCTCAACAAAGTCGTCACCCGGCGTAAGTGTCCCCCCAAAATTGGGGGGGGGGGGGGGGGGGGAGGGCAACACATTGAGGGGGGTGGGGATCTGCCCCCCCCCAAATCACCAGGGCTGGGAAATTGCAGGGGGCCAAAGGTGGGGGGGCACAACCCTATAGTAGCCACTAGAGAATCCCCACTAGAGAATCCTCACTAGAGGGTTAAAACTTGGGGGAGCCCCAAAGTGTTGGGGGCCCCCCCCAAAAATAATTTCCACCCCCCTCCCCAGATCCTGACCTGAAGACGGACGGCTTTGGCCTCGACACCTGCCGCAGCATGGTGGCTGTGATGGACGTATCCTTCGGGGGGGGGTGATTTTTGGGGTGCAGGGAGGAAGGGGGGGTCTCCCCCATTGCCCCCCCACATTGTCCCCCCAAAATTTCCTTGACCACTCCCCCCCCCCCAGAGCGACACGACGGGGAAACTCGGCTTCGAGGAGTTCAAGTACCTGTGGAATAACATCAAGAAGTGGCAGGTGAGGGGGGGTGGCACCCCAAAATCTAAGGGGTGTCCCAAATTGGAGGGGCCACGGGGACCTGAAAATCCTTCCCCCCCCTCCAAAATGTGAGGGGGGGGGGCTATAGGGAACCTCCCTGAGGAGCCCAAAATGGGGGGACCCCCAAATATTGGGGGGCTGTGGGAGAAATAGGGGACCCCTAAATTTGGGGGGGCACTAAGGGCCCTCCTGGGGCACTGAGCTGTTGGGGGAGAGGTGCTGGGATAATGGGGTGTGTCCCCCCCCCAATGCTGAGAGGGGTCACCACCCCTCTATGGGGCCCCCCAAATCCTGGGGAGAACATGGGGGAGACCCCAAAATTAGGGGGCGGGGGTCACAAGGACCCTCGTTGCACCCCAAAATGAGGGGGTGTAGTATGGAGGCAAGGGGGACCCCCAAATCCTGGGGTACAGGAGGAGTTGGGGGGGGGTGGGGGGTGTAAATTGAGGGGGGGGATATGGGGGTACATGGGGGGACCCCCAAAAATTTGCCCCCCCCCCCAACCCCCCCCCAGTGTATTTACAAGCAGTTTGACACCGACTGCTCGGGGACTATCGGGGCGCAGGAGCTGCCGGGGGCCTTCGAGGCCGCAGGTTTGGGGGTGCAGGGGAATTTGGGGGGGCGATTTGGGGGGGAGGCAATTTGGGGGGGGGGTTGGGGGCAATGGGGGAGGCACCTGGGTGGGATTCAAGGAGCTGGGGGTTGGGCTGGGTAACATGTTGGGGGGAGCTGGGGGATTTGGGGGGTTGGAGGAATTGGGGGGGGGGGGGGCAGAGTATTGGGGGGTTGGGAGTAGTTGGGGGTATTTGGGGGGGGTGTGGGGAATTTGGGGGGGTCCAGGATATTTGGGGGGTTCATGGTATTGGGGAGGTCTGGAGGAGTTGGGGGGGGACACACCAGGGTATTTGGGGGGTTTGGGGTTATTTGGGGGGGGCCCAGGGTATTTTGGGGTGTTGAGAGTATTCAGGGGGGTCTGGGGAATTTGAGGGGGAACACCAGAGGATATTTGGGGGTGTCTGGGGAATTTGGGGGGGTTCCAAGATATTTGGGCAGTTCACAGTGTTGGGGAGGGGGGTCTGGGGGAATTGGGGGACACACACCAGGGTATTTGGGGGGGTTGGGAGTGCTTGGGGGTGTCAGGGGTATTTGAGGGGGGGGTTGGGGGGGCAGTGGGGTATTGGGGGGGGGTTAAAGGCATTTGGGGGGGGGGGGTCTGAGGTCATGTGTGGGGTGTGTCCGTCCCCTCCCCAGGTTTCCGCCTGCCCCCCCCACTTTGGGGGGTGCTGGGCCGTCGCTATGGCGACGAGGGGGGGAGCCTCGATTTCGACAACTTCATCAGCTGCCTCGTGCGCCTCGACGCCATGTTCCGTAAGGGGGGGCACCCCAAAATTTTGGGGGGTGGGGAGGGTGTCACCCCGGTCTGAGCAATGCCCAGGGTAAGGGGCACCCCCAGAGTTATTGGGGACCACATAGGGTTATTGGGAGGCCCCCAGGGAGGTGCCCCCTGCAATGCGGGGCGGGTTCAGGGTGATGACCTTTTTTTTTGGGGTCCCCCCCTAATTTTTGGGTGTCCCCCCCCCAGGTGCCTTCAAGTCGCTGGACCGGGATGGGAGCGGACAAATCCGCGTCAGCCTCCAGGAGGTGGGTTTGGGGGTGCCCCCCCCCCCCGAGTGGGTTTTAGGGTCCCCCAGTCCCTTTTTGGGTGTCCTCAGAGTTCGGGGGGGGGTCCAACGGGGGTAGGGGAGAAGGAAGCGGCCCCCCAGATTGCCCTGGCTCTGCCCCACCAGGCCCCGTATCCCTGGAGAGCACCCCAAATCCCTATAGAGCACCCTGGTCCCCATAGGGCACCCCGAAATCCTCACAGAGCCCCCACCCCCCTGTGAAGTCACCTCCTTAAATGCCTGTAGGTGACCATGAATGTTTTTGGGGACACCCCCCCCCCAATCCCTATAGGAAGCCTGTGACCCCTATAGGGGCTCCCTAAATCTCTACACTATAGAGCACCCCTATAGAGCAGCAGCCCCCCCCCTCCCCCAGCCCCCCAGATCCCTATGGAGCCCCCTCAAATCCCTATAGCGTGGCCCTGATCCCCACGGGGGGACCCCCCCCATCCCTTTAGGGTGACCCCAAATCGATAGGGGACTCCTTTGGCGCAGAGGGGGGGAGGTCGCGATGCCTATAGGGACACCCTAAATCCCCCTGGGGTGGTCCCCCCAACGCTCCCGGAGCCCTTATGTCCCCCTATAGGGCCCCTATAGCCCCTGTAGGGCCCCTATAACCCCCCTGGGCCCCTATAGCCCCTATAGGGCCCCTATAGGCCCTGGTAACCCGGTGCTTTCTCTCCGCAGTGGCTGCAGCTCACCATGTACTCCTGAGGTGCCCGTGCTTTGGGGGGGGGCACCCAGACCCTCCCCCCCCCACACCCACATCTGCTCCCCCCCCGCACCCACATCTGCTCCCCCCCACTGTGCCATGGGGGGCCCGCCCCCCCCCAGTCTGCTCCCCCTCCCCCAGTAAAGCTCAGCCAGCCCCACCCAGCACCTTTGACTTTTTTTTGGGGGGGGGGGGGAGGTGTGGGTGCTATAGGGGGGTTATAGGGGTATGGGTGCTGTAGGGGCTGGGGGGGCTTGAGGGGCTCTAGGAATTGCTGTGGGGGCTCTAGGGAGCTATAGGGGGTGTGAGTGCAAGGGGGGGCTCTAGGCGGTGCTATAGGGGTGCCAAAGGGGGCTATAGGGGTATGGGTGCTAGGGGCAGCTATAGGGGATATGGGTGCTGCAGAGGCTGCAGGGGGTATGGGGCTGTGCGGTTTATAAGGAATCGGAGGGGGTGTCTGTGGGGTCTATAGGGGACAGAGGAGGGGCTGCGAGGTCTCTATAGGGGGCGGGGGGGGGTCGGGTGTCTATAGGGGCAGGACGGAGTTCCCGGCGGGGCAAGAAAGGGTTAAGGCGGCGGCGCCCATCCGAGCGCGCTTTAAAAGGGCAACGCGCGGCGCCCCACCCCTGTGCCGGTGGGGCCCACCCGCTGCCGGCCCCAGCAGCGCAACGCGGCGGCCGCAGCGGCGGAGGCGCCGGGGGCAGCCGGTGGGGGGCGCTGCGGCACCGGGGGGGGCACCGGGGGCGGGGGGGGGGGGGGGGAGTCCCTGGGGTCGGTAACGGGGTGTCCCGGGGCGGGGGGGTCTGGGTGCCCCTGGGGTGTCCCGAGGTGGGGTCGGTGTGCCCCGGTGTCCCGGGGGCCGGTAACGGGGTGTTCCGGGGGGGCGGGACGGGTCTGGGTGTCCCGGGGGTGTCCCGGGAGGGTTGGTGTCCCCGGTGTCCCTGGCGGGGGGGAGAGGTCCCGGTGTCCCGGGAGTCGGTAACGAAGTGTCCCGGGGCGGGGGGGTGTGGGTCGGGGTGTCCAGAGGAGGGTCGGTGTCCCCCGGTGTCGTCGGTGTCCCGGGCGGGGCGGTCCCGGTGTAACGGGAGGGAGGGGAGTCGGTGTGCCCCGGTGTCCCGGGAGTCGGTAACGAGGTGTCCCTGGGCGGCGGGGGGGGGGTCGGTGTCCCCCGGTTGTCCCAGGCGGGGGGGGTCCCGGTGTACCGCCGCGGGGGGGGAGTGGGGTCGGTGTGCCCCGGTGTCCCGGGAGTCGGTAACGAGGTGTCCCGGGGCGGCAGGGGGGGTCTGGGTGCCCCGGGGTTGTCCCGAGAGGGATCGGTGTCCCGGGGGGCGGTCCCGGGAGGGGGCGGGGGGGGGTCCCGGTTCCCAGCCCCGGTGACAGCCGGTTCCCCCCCCCTCCCCCCCCCCCTTCCCGCTTTACCGACCGCCCCCATCCCCGCAGGTGCTGCTCCAGCCGTGCCCACCCCGGTTACCGGCCGCTCCACCCGCGGTAGGCAGCTCCCGGTTCCGGTAACCGACTGTGTGTCCCCCCACCCCCACCCCGCCCCCGGTTAAACGAGCCCCCGCTGCCCCGGTGGGCCCGTCCCCGGTTGTCCCGGTGGGCGGATGGCGGCACCCCCGGGGCGGCGGGAGCGGCTGCGGGCGCTGGCGCTGGGGCGGGGGGCGCTGGGGCTGGAGCCGCTGCTGGATTTGCTGCTGGGGGTAACGGGGGGGCTGCGGCACCGGCTGCGGCACCGGGACACCGGCACCGGCACCGACAGCGAGAGGCACGTCCGGGATTTTCTGAGTTGGGGTGAGTGAGGCGGGACCGGGACGAGGTGGGGACGGGAGTTTGGGGGGGTGGGTGAGCCGGGATCCGGGGGGGGTACGGGACCGGGGGTAGTTATACGGAAGCGGGGGGGGGGGGTACGTGACGGAGTGGGTCCGGGACCATGACCGGGGGGTCTGGGACCGGGGGGGTCCGGGAGCAGGGAGTCCATGACCAGGGGGGTGCGGGACCGGGGGGGTTGTAGGGGACCGGGGGGTACGTGACTGAGTGGGTCCGGGACCAGAGGGGTCCGGGGACCGGGGAGGGGTCCGTGACCGGGGGGGTCAGGGACCGGGGGGGTCCGTGACCGGGGGGGTCCGTGACCGGGGGGGTCAGGGACCAGGGGGGTCCGGGGACCGGGACGGGCACGCCTGGGAGTGGGGCAGCCCGGTGCCGGGGGGGGGACCGGGGGGGGGAGAGGTACGAGAGCAGAGCCGGGCGCTCTGGTACCGGGGCCGGCGGGGGCGCGGAGGGGGGTGTCCGGTACCGGCGGGGGGGGTGTGGGGGCGGGGCCCGGGCGCCTGGGTGCCGAGGGGGGGGGCGGGGGGGGGGCCGGTGGCGCCGCTCCTTTTCTGGGCACGTCGGGCCCGGCCCCCCCCCCGCCGCGGGCACCGAGCGCTGCGCGGCCATAAATGGGCTGCGGGAGCGCGGCCTCCCCCCCCCCCGGCGACACCGAGGGTGTCACCCCCCTCGGGGGACTGTCACCCCCCCGACACCCTGCCCCCCTTCCCCCGGACTTTCCACCCCCCCCAAGCCTCACTGTCCGTCTCCCCCACACACACACCCCCCATGCCAGCGCCCCCCCAAATTCCTTGGGCCCCCCCAAATCCCAGATGCCAGAGCCCCCCCCCCCCGAGGACTCCCCTACCCCCAGGGCACCCCCAAATCCTATCACACCCCCCACACACACAGGTCACCCCAAAACCCCCCCCAAGCACCCCACACACCCTGGGCAACCTCCCCCGTACCCCAATCCCCCCCCCCCCCATGTCTTCCCCAAGGATCCCCCCCAACGCTCCAGCTCCCCCTGCAGTAGATTCTCCAGTGGCTCTTAGTGGGGTTGTGCTCCTCCCCACTGCACCCACTGCACCCCCAAACCTGGGCTGCTCCCCAAAATCCAACACCCCGAGGTAAACCCTGCGCTCCCCCCCCCGCCGGGGTAAATGCCCCCCCCCCCACAGCGGAGCCGGTGGCTGCCCGGGTGCAGGAGCTGCAGCTGCAGCGAAGTGATTTCGAGATTTTGAAGGTGATCGGGCGCGGGGCCTTCAGCGAGGTGAGTGGGGGGGGTCAAAGGGGGAGGGGGGGTGTGACACGAATGATGCCACGGGTGACGCCACGGGTGACACGGGTGGCTCTGCAGGTGGCCGTGGTGAGGATGAAGGAGTCGGGGCAGATCTACGCCATGAAGATCATGAACAAGTGGGACATGCTGAGGCGCGGAGAGGTGAGGGGACACGGGGGGACACACACACACGTGGGGGGGGACACACGGGGACATGGGGGGGGGACATGGAGGGATGGGGACAGGGGTGGCACTGACCCCAAAACCTGGGGCTGGGACTGGTGGGGGGCTGGGGGGTAACATTATAGGTGACCTCAAGATGTGACGGTGACCCTGGGGGTGACCCCAGGGGAGGGGGGGAGATGGAGGGGGAGAGGTGACCCCGATGCCACCCGTGTCCCCGTGTCCCCAGGTGTCCTGTTTCCGGGAGGAGCGGGAGGTGCTGGCGCGGGGGGACCAGCGCTGGATCACCCGCCTCCACTTTGCCTTCCAGGACCCCCAGTGCCTGGTGAGGGGACGCCCCCCCATGGGGACACCCCCAAGGGGACACCCCGCCATGGGGACACCACCCCCCCAGGGAACAGCCCCCAGCACCCCTGGGTGCCCCCAGGGAGCCCCCTGTCCCCAGGCCAGGTCCCCCTGTCCCCATCCCCTGTCCCCCTGTCCCCAGGCCACCACCACCACCCCCCCGCCATGTCCCCACCCCTCCATCCCTGTGCCATCCCCATGTCCCCATCCCCACGTCCCAATGTCACTCCTGTGTCCCCATCCCCATGTCCCTGGGCCATCCCTGTGTCCCTGAGCCATCCCCATGCCCCCATCCCCATGTCCCCGTGTCACCCCCCTGTCCCCATCCCCGTGTCCCTGTCTCACTCTTGTGTCCCCATCCCCGTGTCCCCCCCATCCCCATCCCAGTGTCCCCATGCCACTCCCATGTCCCCATCTCCACAGCCCCATCCCCTTCTCCCATCCCCATGCCCGTGTCCCTGAGCCACCTCCATGTCCCCATCCCTGTGCCCCTGTGCCATCCCCGTGTCCCCATCCCACTCCTGTGTCCCCATCCCCGTGTCCCCGTGCCACCCCCATGTCCCCATCCCCATGTCCCTGTCCCACTCCTGTGTCCCTGTGCCACCCCTGTGTCCCCATCCCCACAGCCCCATCCCCGTGTCCCTGGGCCGTGCCAGTGTCCCCAAGTCCCGCCTGTCCCCTGTGTCCCCCCCGCAGTACCTGGTCATGGAGTACTACGTGGGGGGCGACCTCCTGACCCTGCTCAGCAAATTTGGGGACCGGCTGCCCCTGGCCATGGCCCGCTTCTACCTGGCGGAGCTGGTGATGGCCATCGACTCTGTCCACCGCCTGGGCTACGTGCACCGGTGGGCTGGGGACACGCGGGGGGGACACGGGGACACAGGGCATGGGGCTGGGGACACGTGGGGGGGACACGGCACAGGGCTGGGGAGGTGACACTCTGGGGACACGGGGGTGATGGGAGGATGCAAGGAGGACCTGGGGGACATGGGGGGGGCCCAGGTGACATGGGGACAAGGGGGGGTGGGGACATGAGGACGACCTGAGAGATGTGGAGGGGACATGGAGGGGACAAAGGTGGAGCACAGGGACACAGGCGGGACATGGCGGGATGCAGGGACACAGGAGGACACGGGGGGTCAAGTGGGGACAGGAAGGGGACGTGGGGGGACAGGGAGGTGACATGGGAAGGGCTGAGTGACTCGGGGGTGGGTGGGGGGATGGCACACACGTGGGGTGACAGAGGCCACCCCCCACAGGGACATCAACCCGACAACATCCTCCTGGACCGCTGGGGCCACGTCCGCCTCGGGGACTTTGGCTCCTGCCTGAGGCTGGGGCCGGATGGCACCGTGAGTGGGGACAGGGACAGGGGGACATGGGGACATGGGGACATGGGGACAGGGGGGCGGGGAGGGACACCTGGAGCTCAACCCCCCTACGAGTGCCCAGAGAATCCCCCGTTCCTGTCCCCTGTCCCCGTACCCCTGCTCTGATGTCCACGTGTCCCCTCTCCCCCATCCCCGTGTCCCCATGCCTGCCCACCCCCTGTCCCAATGTCCCTGTGACCCCAATGTCCCCATGTCCCCACATCCCACCTCCCCATCGCCACATCCTGTTGTCCTCTGCCCCCCCATGTCCCCTGTTCCAATGTCCCTATGGCCCCAATGTCCCCACATCCCACCTCCCACATCCCCACATCCCCCTGTCCCCCCATGTCCCCAATCCCCATGTCCCCTGTTCCACTGTCCCACATCTCCCTGTCCCTCTGTCCAACTCCCCCATGTCCCCTGTCCCTCAATCCCCATGTCCCCATGTCTCCATGTCCCCATATCCTCTGTCCCCAAACCCTCATGTCCCATCTCCCCACCATGTCCCCAAACCTCCCCATCCCCCTGTCTCCCTGTCCCCCCATCCCCATATCCCCCCGCCCCCGTGTCCCCCCCCAGGTGCGTTCCTCAGTGGCCGTGGGGACCCCCGACTACTTGTCCCCTGAGATCCTGCTGGCGGTGGAGGACCCGGCCCGCTCCTACGGCCCCGAGTGTGACTGGTGGGCACTGGGAGTACTGGCCTACGAGATGTTCTTCGGGCACCCGCCCTTCTTCGCCGAGTCCGTCCTGGAGACCTACGCCAAGATCCTCCACTTCCAGGTGTGGGAACTGGGGGGCACTGGGAGGGGACTGGGGGGCACTGAGAGGTGCTGGGGGGCACTGGGAGGGGACTGGCGGGCATTGGGAGGGGACTGGGGGGCACTGAGAGGTGCTGGGGGGCACTGGGAGGGGACTGGGGGGCACTGAGAGGTGCTGGGGGGCACTGGGAGGGGACTGGGGGGCACTGAGAGGGGACTGGGGGGCACTGAGAGGTGGTGGGGGGCACTGGGAAGGGGACTGGGGGGCACTGAGAGGTGCTGGGAGACAGTAGAAGGTTTCTGGGGGGGCACTGGGAGGTGCCGGGAGGTTACAGTGAGGTGCTGGGAGGTTACTGGCAGAGGCTGCGAGACAGGGAAAGATGAGTGGGAGATTGCTGAGAGGCACTGGGGGTCACTGGGGGTCACTGGGGGTCACTGGGGTCACTGGGGGTCACTGGGGGGCAGTGGGGGTCACTGGGGGTCACTGGGGGGCAGTGGGGGGGTATGGGGGTGTTCCTGGAAGGTTACTGGGGGGCAGTGGGCGTTACTGGGAAGAACTGGGGGTTACCGTGAGGTCACCGGGGTCACCGGGGGGTCACCGGGGGGTCATGGGGCGGTTGCCGGGGGGTTACTGGGGGGCACCGGGGGGCACCGGGGCCCTGACGAGGCCCCGCCCCCAGGACCACCTCCGCCTGCCGGACGAGACCGACCCGGCGCGCGCCCGGACGCCGCCGCCGGGAGGGGGCGTGGCCGACGGCGGCGGGGGCGTGTCCTGCCGCGCGGCCGGGGCGGGCCGGCGCGTGCCGGCGGCGGCGCGCGCGCTGGTGCGGGGGCTGCTGTGCGCGCGGGAGGCGCGGCTGGGGCGGGGCGGGGCGCGCGACTTCCGGCGGCTGCCGCTGTTCGCGGGGCTGCGCTGGGCCGCGCTCCGCCGCGCCGCCCCCCCCTTCGCCCCCGCCGCCAACGGCGCCGCCGACACCTCCAACTTCGACGTGCTGGACGACGGCGTCAGCCAGCCGGTGCGGCACCGGAGCACGGCCCCGCCCCGGCCCCGCCCCTCCCGCCCCGGGACACGCCCCCGGGACTCCCCGTGCCGCAGGACCCCGCGAGCACAGCCCCCCCCCCAAGGGCACGCCCCCAGGCCCTGCCCCTCCCCCTAGAGGACACGCCCCCCAGTAGCCCCCTGTGGAACACGCCCACTTGGAGCCCGCCCCTCCTGCCCTAGGACACGCCCCCCGCCGTGGGGCACGCCCCCTGGGAGCGGACACGCCCCGTAGGGACTCGCCCCCCCCCCCCCCGGAGACACCGTGCAATAGGACACGCCCCCGGGGAGCCCTCCCCTCCCGTCATGTGACACGCCCCCCGGGTCACGCCCCCCGCGATGGTCCCGCCCCCCTGAGACCCCGCCCCTCCTGCCATGGGACACGCCCCCCCCGGAGACCCCCATGCTACAGGACACGGCCCCGGGACTCTGACATGGGGCACGCCCCCTTAGACCCCGCCCCCCGCCATGGGACACGCCCCCCCCGGAGACCCCTCCCCCAGGGCACCCCTCTCAGCTCCCCCGCCCCCCTCCATGAAACTCCCCCTAACCCAGGACACCACGCCGCGACCCCCCCCGCCCCGAACCCCCCCCGGGACCCGTGTCCGCCCCCCTCAATGTCTAATCCCCCCCCCCCCCCCCCAGGAGGAGCCTTGGGACCCCCCCGAGCTGGGGCTGCACCTGCCCTTTGTGGGGTACTCGTACACCCGCGGACCCCCCGAGTGAGCACGGGGCGGGGGGGGGCACAGGGCGGGGGGCGGCACGGGGGTGATGAGGTGGGTGGGGGTCTCGGAGGGGGTGGCGCGCACACACACAGGATGGGGGGGGCTGGGGGTGAAGGGGGAATGAGGAGGGGTCATGGGGGGGCTGGAGTGTTGCCTGGGGGTCCCCTGGTGGGGGGGCCGCAGTTGACACCCCCACGCCTCCCCCCCCGGCCCTAGGGAGGAGGAGGAGGAGGAGGAGGAGGAGGAGGAGGAGGAAGAAGATGAGGAGGAGGAGGAGTGGGACCAGGATACGGCCACGGAGCTGGAGGGGGACTGGGGGACCCCCCCCGAGACAGGGACCCCCCCCGGCGTGGGGACCCCCCCGGACAGGGGGAGTCCTCCACTCACGGGGACCCCCCCGGACATGGGGCCCCCCCCGCCCGTGGGGATCCCTGAACCCACGGCACCCCCCCCACAAAAAGGGGGCCCCATGGGGGCTCCCCCCACCCAAGTCCCGGCCCCCCCCCCCACCTGCGGGGACCCCCCCGGCCACAGAGGCCCCTTTCCATAAAGGGCCCCTCCCCCCAATGGGAAAAGCCCGCCAAAACGGGGCCCCTTCCCCAAAAGAGCACCCCACGTCCCACTCGGTGTCCCCCCCCGACGACCCCCCCACATCGCAGGGCCGCCCCTTAGCCCGGGGGGCCCCCCCGCGGACACCGCCCCCAGGCTGTGCAGCTCCCCCGGGCACGGAGCCCCCCCGAGCCCCCCCTGAGGAGCCGGTATGTGGGACACACACACACACACACACACTTGGGGGGGCCCCGGTGCGAGGGGGGTGTCGGTACCCAGGGTGGGTCCCGGGGGAGGTCAGTGCCCGGTGGGGAGGGGGTCTGGATCCCCGGGGGCATATCCCGCGGCTGGGGGGGGTCCCGGTGCCCTGGGGGGGGGTCCCGGGACGGGGGCGGGTCCCGCTGCCCTGGGCGGGGGAGATTCGGCAGGTCGCGATCCCCGGGGGGGGGTATCCCGGGGCGGGGAGGGGTCCCGGTGCCCTGAGGGGGGTCCCGGGGCTGGGGGGGGTCCCGGTGCCCTGAGGGGGGTCCCGGGGCTGGGGGGGGCCCCGGTGCCCTGGGCGGGGGAGATTCGGCAGGTCGCGATCCCCGGGGGGGGGTATCCCGGGGCGGGGAGGGGTCCCGGTGCCCTGAGGGGGGTCCCGGGGCTGGGGGGGGGTCCCGGTGCCCTGAGGGGGGTCCCGGGGCTGGGGGGGGCCCCGGTGCCCTGGGCGGGGGAGATTCGGCAGGTCGCGATCCCCGGGGGGGGGTATCCCGGGGCGGGGAGGGGTCCCCGGTGCCCTGAGGGGGGTCCCGGGGCTGGGGGGGGTCCCGGTGCCCTGAGGGGGGTCCCGGGGCTGGGGGGGGCCCCGGTGCCCTGGGCGGGGGAGATTCGGCAGGTCGCGATCCCCGGGGGGGGGGTATCCCGGGGCGGGGAGGGGTCCCGGTGCCCTGAGGGGGGGTCCCGGGGCTGGGGGGGGTCCCGGTGCCCTGAGGGGGGTCCCGGGGCTGGGGGGGGCCCCGGTGCCCTGGGCGGGGGATTTTCGGGGGGGTCGCAATCCCGGGGGGTATCCCGGGGCTGAGGAAGGGTCTCGGGTCTCGGTGCCCCGGGGGTCCCTGTTGAGGCGCGGTTCCCGCAGGAGGCGGGGCCAGTCCCGGTGGAGGCGGGGCCAGCCCAAGAAGAGGCGGGGCCAGCCCAGGCAGAGGCGGGGCCAGCCCTGGAGGAGGCGGGGCCAGCCCAGGCAGAGGCGGGGCCAGCCCTGGAGGAGGCGGGGCCATCCCAAGAAGAGGCGGGGCCATCCCAAGAAGAGGCGGGGCCAGCCCCGGTGGAGGCGGAGCCAGCCCCGGCGGAGGCGGAGCCAGGCCAGGCAGAGGCGGGGCCAGCCCAGAAGGCGGGGCCAGCCCGGGAGGAGGCGGAGCCAGCCCTGGAGGAGGCGGAGCCAGCCCAGGTGGAGGCGGGGCCAGCCCTGGAGGAGGCGGGGCCAGCCCAGGTGGAGGCGGGGCCAGCCCTGGAGGAGGCGGAGCCAGCCCAGGTGGAGGCGGGGCCAGCCCTGGAGGAGGCGGGGCCAGCCCTGGAGAAGGTGGGGCCAGCCCAGGAGGAGGCGGGGCCAGCCCAGGCAGAGGCGGAGCCAGCCCAGGCAGAGGCGGGGCCAGCCCTGGAGAAGGCGGGGCCAGCCCAGGTGGAGGCGGGGCCAGCCCAGGCGGAGGCGGGGCCATCCCGGGAGGAGGCGGGGCCAGTCCCGGCGATCCCGGTCCCGGAGCCGGTGGCGGAGCTGCGGACGGCGCTGGCGGCGGAGCGGCGCGGGCGGGCGGCGCTGGAGCGGGAGCTGGGGCTGCTGCGGATGGCGGGGCAGGGGCTGGCCCGGTACGGGGGCGGGGAACGGACGGACCGACGGACACACACAACACCGGCTGACACCCGGTGATACCGGGGACCGGGGGTCCCCCAGCTGACACACCCCCCCAACACTCCCCCCCCCAGGCGCCTGCAGGAGGCCGAGAGCCGCAACCTGGAACTGGAAGCGAAGCTGCGGCGGCTACAGAGCCCCCCGCGGGGGCCCGGTGCCCCCCCGCACGAAGGCAAGGGCCCCCCCAAACCGCACCCCCCACCCCCCCGGACCCCCACATCCCCCCCAGGAACTTCTCCAGCCCCTTTTCAATATCTTACGTGCCCCCCCCCAGAGTCCCTTGGCAGATCGTGACCCCCCCCCCAATATAACTTCAGTCCCCCGGACCCCCTTCCAGGACCCCCCAAACCCCTTTACCCGCCCCCCCCGCCCCTTCGAACCCCCCCAAATCCTTTGGGTAACCCTGAAACTCTCCCCAGGATGGGGGAAGAGGGGGGATTGCCCTCCTCCCCAAAATGGTGGCGCCCCCCACCCCCAAAAGGTTATTGGGGGACACAGGACATCGTTCTGTCCCCAAAATGGGTGGGAGGAGCCCAAAAAAGATATTGAGGTGGGGGGGCACACAGGATGTTGTTCTGTCCGTAAAGCGGGGGCGCCCACCAAAAAAAAGGTTATTGGGAGGGGACACAGGACCTCGACCCCTCCTTAAAATAGGGGTGGGGGCCTTAAAAAGGTGTTTTTGCAGGGGGGAGATCAGGGCCTCCTCCTCTCCCCAAAATGGGGTGTGAACCCCAAAAAGGATATTTGGGAGGGGGGTCCAGCCTTAATCTCATTGCCCCCCCCTCCCCGTTTCCCTTGCAGGAGGCACGGGGCAGCACCCCACCATCCCAGCCCCCCCTGCGGAGCCCCCGGCGGACGTAAGGACCCCTCCCCCCCCCAGTTGGGTTTTTTTGGGGGTGCGGGGGGGGGGTGCGTCAGGGTTTTTGGGGGTGCGGGGGGCTGCTGACGCTCTCTGCTCTCTCCGCAGCCCGGCAGCGGGGGCCCCCCCCGGCTTTTCCGCTCCCCCCTGGGGGTGCCCCTGTCCCGGCACCTCCTGCTCTGGGCCCGGGTATGTGGGGCCGCGCGCGCTGCTGTCACTGTCACCCCCCCCCCAGGCTGGGACACACGGGGAGGTGCTGGGACACACTGGGCATGGCCACCGCTGGCACTGCCACCCCCTCAGGGCTGTCACCCCCCCCTTGGGCAGTGCCACCCCGCTCACTGCCATTTGTTTGTGTGTGTGTGTGGCCCCACCCCTGCACCCCCCCACCCCTTTTGGGATCACCCCGCAAATTCTGGGGGTCCCCATTGAGGGGAAGGGGGGGGGGGGATGCGACAGTGTCACCACCCTGACCCCCCCCTTCTCCCTGTCCCCAGGTCCCCCATCCCGGTGCCACCAAGGACTGCCTGCTGCTCTGCGCCGCCGGCCTGCGACCCCCTGCCCCCCCGGGGACCCCCCCATGAAGGGGGGTGGGGGGGGCCACGGCAGCCGGGCTCACCAGCACCCCCTCTTCTTGCACTTGACCCCCCCCCCTCCTTCCCCACAGCGTGTGTGTGTGTGTGGGGGGACACCCCAACACCCCCTCCCTGTACATAGCCCCCCCCATAACCACTAGGCATAAGGGGGGGGACCCCAGGCGTCTGGCACCACCCCCCCCTAGAAATGAGGGGGGTGTGTCACACTGTTGCCCCCATGACCGGCAACGAGGGGCAGCAGGATCCGACCCCCCCCACCTCCAATATGAGGGGGGGGACCTGACCCCCCCTTTTTGCCACCCTGGAGGGCCCCCCCAGGGCCCCCCCACTAGTAATTTATTTGTAGGGACGCCCCACGTTTGCACTAAGCCCCCTGTTATTTATACACCCCCTCCTCGGTTTTTGCCCCCCCCCCCCTCATTTTTTTTGCCCTCTCGCGCTTCTTGACCCCCCCCGTTTGTTGCCCCCCCCCCCCCCCCCAGGAATGGATGAGAATAAAGTTGTGTTTCTGCAACTGGCCTCTGTGCTGGGTGGGGGGGGGAGACACATGACACAGGGGTACCCCAAAATGGCCCCAGTGAGGGAGGGGGTGTCATGGCTATTCTGTGTGTGTCCTCCCCCCAAGGCACAGCACCCAGTCTGTCCCCAGTCTGTCCCTGCGTCCCCCCATGTCACCCATCCTGTCCCCAGTCTGTCCCTGTGTCCCCACATCACGCACCCTGTCCCCAGTCCACCCCTGTGTCCTCCCCGTGCCACCCACCATGTCCCCAGTACCAGCACACCCCCAGACCCCCCCTCCCCAATCCCCCCAATCCCCCCAGCGTGTCCCCAACCTGTCCCCGTCCCCGGACACGTCAGGGTCACCCCAATGCGAAAAAAGTCTCTTTAGTATAAATAAGGGGCAGAGCCCGGTGGCCCCGCGGGGACATAAAGTGACAAAAGGCACAGGGCACCCCGCCGGCGCGGCACCGCGGTGCCACCGCCCCGCCGGGGACAGGGAGGGGACGGGGGGGGGGACAACGGGGTGCCCGCCCGCCCCGGGGGGCTCAGTAGTACGGGGACGGAGCGGTGGCACCCGCCGGGGGGTACGTACGGGTGACGGTTATACCACGGTGCCGCTGGGGGAGCCGCCGTTCTGCGAGGACAGTCCCTGCGAGGGAAGGGGGACAGCGCTCGCTCGGGGGGACACACACTGGGACACACCCCCCACCGCCCCCCGCCAAAAAACCCCTCTCTGACCCCCCAGGCCGTCAGCAGGACCCCCCCTGTTCCCCCCAAACCCCCTCTCTGACCCCCCAGGCCGTCAGCAGGACCCCCCCTGTTCCCCCCAAACCCTCTCCCTGACCCCCCAAGCTGCCAGCTGGACCCCCCAGCTGCCTCCAGCCCCCCCAACCCCCCTCTCCAGTTACCCCCAGCCCCCCCCCCCGGCGCACTCACGGCTTTGCCGGGCCGTGCCCAGGTGCAGATGAGCCCCTCCTGGCAGGCGGTGACGATACAATCCTCCAAGAACAGCAGCACGGTCAGGCGCTCGTGGGCGATCTTCTTGCAGACGAGGGGTTCCAGCAGCGGCACCTCGTGAATTCGGGGGCACAGCGCCGTCCCCAGCACCTTGGCCGTATCCAGCCGAGCCCTGGATCCGGCACCGCCGGGGGGTTTCTCCCCGCTCCGGCTGATGTTCCCCAAACTGTGGTAACGTTTGTGCTCTTTTTCAGCACCGGAAGGTCCCTTCCGTTCCTGCAGCGTCAGCGTGGCGAAACGACCGACGCTAAAAGCCGGGGGGACGTCGGGTGGGGGGCAGCGGGCTGAGCCCGTCCCCCCCGGCTGCGGGAGGCTGTTGGAACGGGAGAGCGAGCGGGGCAGCCCTGGGACAGGAACGCCGGCATCCGTCGATCCGGTGAGGGTACGGGCGCGGGAGAGGGGGGGACGAGGGTAGAGGACGTCCTCGGTCAGGTCCCACAGGCAGAACTGGGTGTCTTGGCCGGCCGAACCGAAGCGGTAGGTGACGGCGGGGGAACGGCGGACGAGGGGATCCGGGGGCTCGTCCTCCTCCTCGCCCCCACTCAGCTCGGGGGGTTGGGGGGTCTGAGCCGCTCCGGTGAAAGGATCGAAGGCCACAGCGTTGACCCAAGACTTGTGACCGTGACCTCGGGCCACCACCCGCCCTTCGGCAAAGGACCAGACGGTCACCAAATCATCCTCGCCCCCCGTCACCACGTAGCGCCCGTCGGGGCTCCAGCAGACGCAGAGCAGCCCCCCGAAATAACTCTTCATCATCCCCTGCAGCAGCATGGAGTCAAAATGGAAGACGCGGAGGCAGCCGTCCTGGCTGACGCAGGCCAGCGAGCGCCCGTCCGGCGAGAAAGCAAATTCGTTGAGGGCTCCCTCGCCCACCGCCCATTTGAGGAGGGGGTTTCGGGGGGTCTTGCTCTTACAGGCGAAGACGCTGAAGCCCTCGCCCTGCGTCAGGAGGTTGTACTGGGGGGCCGCGGCCCCGCAGGGCTGCTCAGCGTCGTACAGGTAGAGGTGGCCGCTGGCGTGGGAGGCCAGGAAGAGCCGCTCGGTCTCCGGCAGCCATTTGACAAAAGTCACCTTCGTTTTGTCGATCAGGCGCTGCGGGGTGGGGGGAGAGGGGGGGTGTCAGGATTGGGCCCCCCCTGGAACGTTTGGGGACCTGAATGGGGATGGTTGGTGATGGGAGTGTGTGCTGCGGACCAGCCCTGGGGTGTCACTGAGGGCAAAACTGGAAAAAAAAAGGGTGTTTGGGGACCCAAATCCACGTTGTGGTGCAGCCCCGGAGTGTCACTGAGGGGAAAGCCCAAAGTGCCACGTTTGGGGACACAACCGGGGACGTCTGGGAACACGAGTGAGGGCTGCGGCACAACCCTGGGGTGTCACTGAGGGTGAAAATCCCCAAAAGGGGCATTTGGGGACGGGAATCCTCGCGACGGCGCAGCCCTGAGGGGCCCTTAACGAATACAGACCTTAACGACCTCCGGCCCTTCCGGCACCGCCCTGAGCACCGGGGGCACCCCGGTGTCCCCACTGCGTGTGTCCCCCCCTCCCAGTGCCACCGCGGGCGGGGCTCACCTCCTCGTTGAAGAGTTTACTGGTGTCCTTCTTCACCAGGTCGAGGTACTGGACCTGCCCGGCGGAGAAGCCCACCAGCAGCGCGATGGTGTCGGCGCCCGCCGTGAACTGGTTGAAGTCGTGGCAGGTCGGTTGGGTCCCCTTGTAAATGCGTTTGTCGATGGGTTTGTGCAGGTCCAGGGACTGGGGGGACACGGGGGTGTCACCGGGGGGGGGACGGGACACGGGGGTGTCACCGGGGGGGGGGGAATGGGACACGGGGGTGTCACCGGGGGGGGGACGGGACACGGGGGTGTCACGGGGGGGGGGGACGGGACACGGGGGTGTCACCGGGGGGGGGACGGACGGGACACGGGGGTGTCACCGGGGGGGGGACGGACGGGACACGGGGGTGTCACCAGAAGGGGACACACACACACACACACGGGGATGTCAGCAGGGGGGGGGACACACGTGGGGGTGTCACCGGGAGGAGGAGGACACAGGGGTTTCACTGGCGGGGGACGGACGGACATGGGGCTGTCACCGGGGACACACACACACGGGGGTGTCAAAGGGGGGGAACGGGACACGGAGGGCTGTCACCTGAGGACACACACACACACGGATGTCAGCGGAGGGGGGGGGGACGGGACACACGGGGGTGTCGCTGGGGGGGGACACACGGGGGTGTCGCTGGGGGGGGACACACGGGGGTGTCACGGGGTGGGGACCCTCCCGTCCCCTCGGGAGGGGCCTTGGCCCTGAGACGCTGCTGCCAAGCCCCGGTGTCACTGTATTCCCCGCCCGCAGCTGGCTCTTAAGGGGGTTGGGGTCCCCGTTACCGGCGCTGTCCCCACGAGCAGCCGGTTTTGGAGGGGTCGCCGTTACCGGCCCCGGTTGTCCGCACCCCCCCGCTGGACCCTGCGCCCGGTAGCGGCCCTACGACCCCCTTTAACAGCCCCCGTGTCCCCGTCACACGCTGCCACCCGGCTCCCCCCACACCCCGCCGCTACCGACAGGCTCCTCCCCCGCTTCCCCCGTTACCCGGCGGCTGCCGCGACCACCGGAACCGGCCCCGCCGTAGAAGTAGAGCTCACGGCCCAAGTTGAAGCAAACCCGGCTACGCTCAGCCGGACCCCCCGGTTCCTCGGCGGGGGGCAGCGCCAACCGCACCATGGACAACCGCACCGGCGGCAGCGCGGCCGGGCCCGGGGAGGCGGCGGCGGCGGGGCCAGGGCCGGCGGCGGGCGGGGAAGGCCCGGGGGCGGCGGCGGGGCCGGCGCGGGCGCGGGGCTCGGGCCCCAGCAGCCGGTAGGAGCCTTCCCGGGTGCGGAACTGGCTCTTGAGCTCCAGCGGCTGCGCCGGGAGCGCCGCGGGACCCTCGGCCGCCCCCGGGGCCGCCGCCGCCATCTTCCCGCCGGAAGGGCGTCCCCGCCCGCCGGAAGCGCCCCGCCCGCCGCCACCGGTTGCCGTAGCAACGCGCTGAGTCACGCGTGGCCACACCCCCCTGCTCGGCAACACCCACCGATAGCTGCAGACCACGCCCCCCCGGTAGCACCCATATAGGGACTGGCCACGCCCCCGCCGAAACCACGCCCCTCAACGGCACCCACCGATGGGGCAGACCACGCCCCCTCAGCAGCACCCACCGATGGGGCAGACCACGTCCCCCGCCGAAACCCCGCCCCGCGCTCAAACCACGCCCCCTCGGCAGGCCCCGCCCCCCCCGGCGCCCCAAGTGCCTCAGGGTGCGGGTTGGGGGGGGGAAAGGGGGATCAAGGGTGCCCCCCCAAAACAGACACAGCCCCAGAACTGCTCCCACACCTTTATTGAGCACAGCACCCCAGGGTGCTGAGCGGGGACGGGACACATCCCTCTCCCCCCCTTCATCCCTCTGCCGGCCCTGGGGGGGCATCGGGGGCCCCCCCGGGGGGCACCTCAGGGCTCTGGGTGCCAGGCGGGGGGGGCTCCGAAGAGGGTGGGGTGCTGGGGAGGGCCTCAGCTGAGGGGGGCTCTGTGCTGGTAGGGGGGTCCTGGGTAGAAAAAAAGCAAGGGGGGGAGTGGTGGTGAGAGATGGGTGCCCCCCCCACACCCCCCCCAGCACCCTGCCTGCCCCTCTTGGGGTGTGGGGGGGCGCATACCTTGGGGGTGGCTGTGGGGGGGTCGAGGGTGCCATCAGGGGGGGACCCAGCCCCCCCTGAGCTCTCCTCATCCTCAGGGACGCTGATGAAGATGGGGGGGGGCTCAAGGTCGGCCCCCCCGAGATCTGGGGGTGCCTCAGAAGGGGGGGGCGCAGTGCTGGGACACCCCCCCGGGGCTGGAGGCACCGTCTTCCCTTTGGCATCTTCCTCACCCAGCTGCTTGGGGGGCTTCTCCTTGAGGGGGGGGGTGCACAGAGGGAAGTGTGAAGGGGAGCCCCCCAGCTCACCCCATGGCCTGGGGGAAGCTGGGGGACCCCCCCACCCCCAATATACACCCCCTTCATGCACCCCCACCTCTCCGGGGGGGCCCTCCCGGGCGTCGGGCTCGTGGCGGGCAGAAGCTTCGAGGATGGCCATGGTGGAGAGCGGGATGTGAGCTTGCTGTGGCAGGGGGGGACACACACACGCAGAGGAATCAGTTGAGGGCAGAGACCCCCCCCCCCTCCCCCCAAAGGCATGCTGGGGGGTGCTGTCACCTCCCGGGGGGGCGTTACCTGGTGGGGGGTGAGGGCGCGGACGTGGCTGAGCAGGGGTTCGCGCAGCTCGGGGCATTTCTCAAAGATGGCAGCCAGCTGCGGGGGGGGCAGCTGCAGCACCACCTGGAAGGACTGAGGCTTCGTGCGCTGGCAGCACTTGATGAAGCCCTCCCAGACTTTGGGGTACTTCCACACCTGGTGGGGGGGGCAAAATGGGGGGGTCAGGGAGGGCCTCCCCCCGCTCCTGCAGCCCCCAGGGGAGAGGGGATGGGGGGGGGGGGAGGCCACCCATGGGAACAGCCAGGGATAGGACGGACAGACAGAGCGAGCCAGGGACAGCAGGAAGGGATGGAGGGACACCTGGGGAGGGGATGGACAGGACGGACACACACACCTTGGGACAGGGGGACAGGACAGACAGAGCCCCAGCAGGCCGTAAGGACGGGGTGCCCACACCCCCCTCTCCCCCTCCAGACCCACAACCACCTGCTGGCGACACCCAAGCGACCCCCGCCCCGCACTCCAAAGCGTTTGGACAGACAGACGGACGGCCAGACCTGCTTCATGATGAGGCGGGAGAGGATGTTCATGACGAAGCCGCCGAGGCGGGGGTACATGGTGAGCGCCTGGATGACGGTGCGCATGAGCAGCATGGGCAGCGGGCTCTGCTCCATCAGCTGCTGCATCACCACCGCCAGCACCTCCGACGTGTAGACGTTCCGCTCGGCGAAGCACAGGTTGGTGGCTACGGGGGGACAAGGTGTCACCTCCCCCCAGCGTGTCGCCCCCACCCCACCGCCCCCCCTCTCCACGCCTCAACCTTTGATGATGGATTTCATGTCGCACTTGGAGGAGTCGATGTTGTGCAGGGCGATGAGCAGCTCCCCTGGGTTCAGCGGGGACACAGCCGAGGCACCGTCACCTGCGAGGGGACAGCATGGGGGTGGCCCTGTCACCTCGGGGGTGGCGAGGTGGGGGTTGATGGGTGCTTGGTCCTTCCCCACCATGGTGGCTCCAGAGGTGACGATCGTCCCTGGGGTCACCTTGGGTGCCCTGCAGGCCATCGCCTGTGTCCCATCACAGGGAGGTCCCGTGTCTCCAAGGAGTCCCACCCCAGGGAGGTCCCATGTCCCCACAGTGAGCACTGGGACTGTCCCCGTGGTGTTCCATCCCGAGGAGATCCTGTGTCCCCAGTGAGCACTGGGACCGTCCCCATGGTGTCCCACCCCAGGGAGGTCCCGTGTCCCCACAGCGAGCACTGGGGAGGTGCCAGACTCTGTGTCCCACCCCAGGGCTGTCCCTGTCCCCTACCATGTTGTGTCCCCAGCAGGCGGTTGAAGACCTCCTTGACCACGATGGGGTTGAGCTTGATGAGTTTGGGCAGCGCCTGGATCACCTCTTTCTGCACCCGAAACAGCAGCACTCAGCAGGGTGGGGCGACACACATATGGGGAGGGGACACCAGGGGAGGGGACACTCTGACCTTCTCCAGCCCATTGAGGACGGGGATGAGGAACCTCACATCTGGCAGCCGCTTGTGATAGAGGTCGCGGACCCTCTTCACCAGCTCAGGCGAGGGGGGCACTGCCGGGAGGGGGGGGGATGGTGTGACACATCACCGTGGGGCACACACCACCCCGCCACGTCCCCCCCATCCCCTACCTTTGTCCGTCAGGCTGTGCAGGCAGCGCGTCACCAACGTCTCGGCTCCCTTGGGGCAATTCTCCACCAGCAGCAGCAGCTCGGGCGAGTTCATCCCCATCCCGCGGATCTAGAGGAGCCACCACTGGTGTCACCGGGCCACCGTGTCCCCTCAACGTCCCCCCTCGCCCCCTCCCCGGGTCTCACCGGCTGCTCGATGACCCGCAGGACGGTGCGCTTGATGTCAGCGATGGCTTCGGTGTAGACGGAAGCCAACTCGTGGATGAGCTTGTGGTTGTGGGGCAGCAGTGCCAGGTAGAGGTAGAGGCACTGCTTGATGGTCTCCTCCGTCCACGGCGCCGCCACCTCTGCGCCACACAGGGTGTCACCAGAGCCCTGGGGGCCCCCCTAGTAGGGGCCACCCCGCCCCCAAAACTCACCCGTGTCCTTGTCGGCACCGAAGAGGACGGAGGGTGGGTTGGGGTGCACCAGGAGCTGGAGGTAGTTGAGGGCAAACTTCTCCACGTACTCCCGCAGTTGGTCCTTCTCGTACATGCGCTTGATGAAGAGGAGGGCCTGCTGGCGTACCTGCGGGGGCGGGCGCGTGTCACCGGTGCGGGGACACAGCGGGGGACAGCGGGGTCCCCCCCGGGTGCGGCGGTACCTTGTCCTTCTCATGGGAGCTGAGATCCAAGAGGACGTGGAGGTATTGGAACTGCCGCGACGGCCGCTTGAAGATGAGGTCACGCAGCGTGGACATGCCCAGGTAGGTCCGGCTCTGCAGAGACGGGGGGTGATGACACAACGGCGAGGGTCAGCAAGGCTTGCCCCCGTGTCCCCAAGCCTGTGGGTCCCCACCTCGTCCTCGCAGTACTTGCGGATGACCTCCAGTGCGCTCTCGGTGATCAGCGGCGCTTCCAGCACCACTTTGGTGAAAACCCTGCCGGGAAACGGACAGCGTCGGGCTGGGGGGGTACTGTCAGGGTGGGGGGCAGGGGACACGCGGGCAACCCTGGGGACTATCTGGAGGGATGTTCACGACTCAAGAGCTGTGGATTCCACTGTGGTGGCTCTCCAGAGACTGGGGGAGCGGCTGGTGGCACCGTCATGGCCCTGGTGGCACAATCATGGCTCCAGTGGCACCGTCACGGCCCCGGTGGCACTGTCATGGCCTTGGTGGCACCATTCCCGTCCCGGTGACACCATCACGGCCCTGGCGGCATCATCGTGGCCCCAGTGGCACCGTCATGGCCCCAGTGGCACCGTTCCCATCCCGGTGGCACCGTCATGGCCCCGGTGGCACCGTCATGGCCCCGGTGGCACCGTTCCCATCCCAGTGGCACCGTCACGGCCCCGGTGGCACCGTCATGGCCCCGGTGGCACCGTTCCCATCCCGGTGGCACTGTCATGACCCTGGTGGCACTGTTCCCATCCCGGTGGCACCGTTCCCATCCCGGTGGCACCATCACGACCCTGGTGGCACCGTTCCCATCCCGGTGGCACCATCATGGCCCCGGTGGCACCGTTCCCATCCCGGTGGCACCGTCCCTACCCATCCTTCTGGTCGGGCTTCTCCTGGAGCCCGGCGAGGAGCCCGATGAGACACTCGTCGTAGCGCTCCAGGCTGCCGGCGGGGAAGCGGCTCAAGTAGACGTTGTACTCCTGGAAGAGCCAAGCGAAGGCCAAGTCGAGGCGGCCGCGGATGTCATCGAGGACGAAGGCCAGCACCTCGCTCTTCAGCGGCACCTCAAACTGCGTCACCAGCGAGGCCAAGATCTTCACGCGGGCCTGTCGGCGGGAGAGAAGAGTGGGTGACATTTGGGGGGCGTGGGGGGGGGCTCGCCCCCGACAGTAGGGAGGGCCAGGCGTACCTGGGCGGCCCCGCTGCAGGCGACAGCGCGCTCGGCGCGTAGGATGCGCTTGACGGCGCTGAGCTTCAGCTTCTCCATCTGCGCGTCACTCAGCGGCTTGAGGACGTCGCCCAGGCGGAAAACCTTCTTGCGCCCGCCGGCACCCGCCAACCTCGGGGGGGGAAAAAAGAGAAATAGATCCATCTGTCAGCACCCACGGGCGCTGCTCCCCGGGAGGGCGACAGCGGGGGGTTACCGGGGCTGCGTGGCCGGGATGATGGGCTCAGGGCGACGCTTGGCCTGGGGGGCTTCTTCTTCCAGCAGGTTGGTGGCCGAGCCTTGGGCACCCAGCACGGAGATGGCCTGGCCTTGGGCCAGCGCCGACAGCCGCCGCTTGATGACGACGCTCTCGGGTTTTGGCCGCCTTCTCCTCCTTCGGCTCCTCCTTCAGGTGCTTCGTCTGCTCCACGCCTGGCCGGGTGCGGAGGGTTGAAGCGGCACCGGTGAATTATTGGAATTGCCGTGCAGAAAAATAAAAAGAAAAGAAAAGAAAAGAAAAGTAAGAAATAAAAAAAAATAATAATAAAAAAAAATTAAAAGATAAAAAGAAAATCAAACAATAAGATAAAAATAAAATAAATTTTAAAATAAAAATAAAAACAAAATAAAATTTAAAAAAATTAAAATAAGAAATAAAATAAAATTTAAAAATAAGATAAAAAATAAAAAAATTAAAAATAAAATACTAAATAAAAAATAGTAATTAAAAGGAAAGAAAATTTAAAATAAAATAATATAAATAAACAAAAACCAAAATAAGATTAAAAAATCAAATAAATTTAAAAAATAAAAAATTTAAAACTGATATACAAAATAAAATAAAACCAAAATAAAACTTTAAAAAATAAGTAAAAATAAAACCAAATAAAAAAACAAAACAAAGTAAGGGAACCCCCAAACCAACCGACCCCCAACCGCTGGCTGCTCTCACGGCGGGGCCGCCCCCGCCCGCGCCCCCGCCCCGCCCCGGGGCTGCCGGGGGGCCCGGGGTCCCCGCTCACCCGGGCCAGAGCCCCGCCGCTGTCATCTGGGTGGCCATGAGCCGCGAGA